TAAATTACTTCCAATATTAATGTTTATTCTATTATTATTATGATCACCATATTGCATGTTTAAAGGGAATATGTAGTTGAAAATCACGCCTAATAAGATAATTTGGACAACCGGCTTAGGTTCCTTTTTAATCTTGTTATTAAATCAAGTGATCACAATATTTTAGAATTATGTGTTGCATTAATATTCAACCAATTTAGCATAATAATAGTTTGGAGCAAATTGAATATTTTGTTTGTATGCCTTTGAGATCGCAGGAATGCTTTTCACAATAAGAATCGAGTAAAGGCCAAATACGTGCGAATGTGACTCCATGACTCACTTCGTACCATCATCCCCGATCCTCCTTTCGTGGTTCCGAACCATACGGAGTTAGTAATCTCATGGATTATGAATGGGGTGTAACCTTCACGGGTCAATCGTTGTTGCCTTCGTTGTCCCTTTATCGTGGTTGCCTTTTATGATCCGTGAACGGTTTACAAGTTCCTTAAAAACTTGTTGGCGGCTCCCTACTTTCCTTGTCCCTAATCGTTGTCCCTTATCATATGTCAATTACCACTTCCTATGAGTGCCAAACATATTCACCACATGCTTTAACGTAGGTGCACTTCGAGCGACGCCTACACTAGGGTAAGGGTAGGATATATTTGGGAATATGTGAGATAAAAGCCATGCTTAAAGGGAGCCAAATCCTAATAAAAGCCATGGTAAAAAATAAATAATGATCAACATCTCCAACATATCAACTCCAACAAAAATCCACCAAATACAACTCCAAACATATCAAACAATCCTAATACTTACAAATTTCACTAATGAAAATATAACTAACGTAAAACTCGAGTGAATCACAAACTCTAAACTATCAAACATGAATTTTCCAATGAAACTCAATTTTTTTCGTTCTTTTCTTTTTATCAACCTTCAATTAGAGCATTTGAACATATGACAATTTTTTTTCTTTTGCTCTTTTTTTTTTTCTTTTGAAGTTCACTTTTTTTTCATTTTTTTTCTATTTTTTTTTTCCATATCATCATACTTAATTTTTTTTCAAGAAAATTCAACTTTCAAACTCATCAAAAATAAACTATAATCAAGTACAATATAACTTCTCATAACCCACCCAAATTGTGCAAATAATAAGCACACTACAAACTCCCTCACCTCACTCACTAATAGCTCCCCTAAGCCAAGCTTGGGTCTAGTAACCAATGGGGCTAAATAGGCTTGTAATGTGGCTAATAAACAACAAAAAGTCAAGGCAACAACATAGGTAGCAAGAAGGGAACAAATGTATCTAATATCATCTGAAGGCCACCTAAAGAACGAATGTCTTCGTCCTCCACATGTGCATAATAATGAGTCATGAAACACTACTTATAGTTGCAAACCAATACTCAAATTCATTGACATACCAGGAACTAACACACATTCCTAACCAAATCAACTATTCAAGCACTATATTCACAAGTAGTTGGACAAAATTGACGCATGTTAAGGTTCCAAGGCAATCAAACATCAAATCATGATCAACTAATCCTCAATATTTAGCATCAATAACCAAGAATCAAAACAATTTGATAAACTTTAATCAAGGGGGCATAGGGAAGCGTGATTCATAATTCATTCGAATAAAACTAACCTAACAAAGAAATAAAATCTATACTAAAAAAAATAAAAATAAAAAGAGAGAGAGTGAAAGATGTACCATACGAACACGAGAACCTCCCCCCAAGCTAAATCAGACAATGTCCTCATTGTCTTTAAGGGAAGCTAGTAGTCAAAGTGACTAATTCTCATCATCATTAACACATAAATGTCACCAAAGCCTAGAGGATTGCAATTCAGTTCTTTGGAACAAATTTTGGGCAAGAATGAAACAAAGTGTTAGTGGGAAAACGATAAAAATTGAGTCATGTAAACTATTCTGATCATAACTTTTGATTTATAAATCATAATACAGTGATTCTAATTTCATTGGAAAGTAGACTTGAAGAGCTTTCTAATGATAGGTAGCACGCCAAAATCCAATAAGAAACGCAAAAGTTATAGCCTGTCGAAGTTGACAAATTTTTCTGACGCGAACCCACGCCCGAGCTCAGCCCGATCGGGCCCGTGCTCCTAATTCGACCACGCTGATTGCTGTTACTCTCTGCCCAAATATCTTTTGTACTAGTTCGTCTTCTTCTTTTTCGCTCTCTTGATCAAAACCTGCACAAAAAGGTACTTCCACAAGCATAAGATACACCCTCGTTACCTCTCTAAAACAAAACTAAAAGAGAACACACAAAAATAAAAAAAAATAAAAAAACTTAATAAAAAAACAACAAAATACGGGTTGCCTTCCGCAAAGCGCTAGTTTATCAAGGTCCCGCTCGACCATATTCCTCCTCTCAATCAGAGGAATTCAACGCCTTAAGTAACTTATCAAATGCTCCTGCAACACATTTTATTAAGCACTAGATAGGGCTTAATTGCAAGCACATTAATCCCTACAAAAAAAAGGTTAGGAGCACATAAAGAGAATTCATGGTAGAAGGAAAAATCAAAAGAGGGAAATGAAAATACACCACAACCTTCCACTTCCTCCGCTAAAAATTTTGAATTAATAGAACGAACATGGAGGTAGTCGTTGTCTTTATCATCCAATAATGACTTGGAAATTTTACCCTCGCGAATAACCTCATCATCAACAAAGGAAATTTCAACCACCGTTTCTACAACTAATGATTTTTTAATCACCGATTCGTCAACCAATGATTTTTCAACCACAAATTCTATAAAGGGTTCTTCATCCTCTATAACATTTGTATTATTATAGTGTCCATAGACTTTTTCATCAAGAGCCTTCCAGTAACTTTCATTAGCAACTAATCGTTTCCGTATATGATCATATGTATATGGAAAGACTCTAAAATCATCAGGAGCACGCACGAAAAACTCACTATAAGGGCATTCAGGATTTTCATGACAAAGACGTTGACAACAACAGTAGTCAGGTGCTGCATAAAAATTATATAATTCTTGTAGTGGCGTAAGCATGGATATTTTCAACTCATAAATAAAATAAAAATAAATTAAAATAAAAAATAATAATCTAGACTTTAATAACAACTAGAAATAAAAATAAAACCGTTTACCCGGCAATGGCGCCAAATTTTGACAGGCTAAAGTCGTATCACCTAATCAAAAGTAATTACCTAAGTCCTCTAACTAATATAGATAGGGAAGTATGGTCGAATCCATAGGGAAACTGGTCTTTCTATTCCTAATTAATTAATTATAATCTAAATTATTAAAGTAACCAATTGTTGTTGTTAAAGGAATTATACTACGAAGAATAAGTTTAGGGAGAAAAACGATAATAAGAAAGCCTAGGGTCACAGGTTCACCAATAATTAATATTCCGGGATAAAACATAACAATCAATAATTAACATTGCGCAAATAACATGATTAACAGGCTCTCGCAATTTATTTATCAACATAGATCTAACAGGCTGTCGCAATTTACTAGATCTAAGTTCCTATTGAAAATAGCCTTTAATATCAAATTAACATCTACTCGATTCATCAATTCAATATTGCTAAACATTCACAATCAAATTACATCTGCTCGATTCATAATCTAATTGCAAAGAATTAAAACAACTCAATAAGAAATTATCATGCGATATCAATAATCAATAATAACAAATAATCCCTTCATATTAATTACCCTATAATTTAATTACTCATACATAATTAAATCTAAACTAAACAAAGCAATTAAAGGAGACATGATTAATAAGCAAAGAAAATAAGTAATAATATAGAGAAGAGACAGTACCAAAAGAAGGAAGTATGAAATTGCATAAAACAAGAGTTTAAAGAGAGAAACAAGAGAGAGATAATCTTAGAGTTTAATTAAGAGGAGAGAGAGAGAGAAGTTAGAGAGAGAGAGAGAAAAGAAAAGTAACTAAAACTAATGAAAAGGAAAGCAAAACTAATTAATCTAAAGCTACCCCACCTACGTAACTACTACCTCCTTAAATAAGAGTAGTAAAAACATATAATCCAAGAATCCCACTCCCGCTAAAACAAGGATTACACAATTATTATGAAAAGGCCTCAATCAGATATGGAGTGTATCTAGGCCCAAATCAAACAGCGGGCGACTTAATGCGCAAGCAGCCAAATCTCTCGATCGGGCCCGTGGTCTGGCAGCGTCAGCGATCTAGGCTTCTTTTGCGGAAATTGGGCCTTGGACTTTTGCGGTTTGGCAAACGCCTAGTTTTTTTGAACGTCCTAGGCTCAAACGCCTCGTTCGTGCGAAAAACCGTGTGGTTGTTCAAAAAATCAGGGCGTTTGAGCCTAGAACGTTAAAAAAAATTGGGCGTTTGCCTGCGATTTCAAAAAATAATAAAAAAACAAACCTTTTCTCTGGCGTCCGTCTTTCCTTTGTCCTTCCTTGTCATTACAACGACTGTGTAGATCGTGAAACCAGAGGTAAAAAAGATCAGAGTTGTTGGTTAAACGAGGAGGTGGTGAGTGGTGGGTAGTATGAACAGGTTGGTGGTGGTTGTTGTTGTTTAGAGAGAGAATAATGTTTCAGAGAGTGAACAAGGAGTGAAGGTTTGGGGGGGGATAAATTCTGTTTGAGGGGGGCAATTTATTTTGATAAAATAAGAGTAAATTTGTAATTTTATTTTATTTTACGGGCATTAATTAGATATTTAAGGGCGACTATAGCTTCCCACAATATTATTGATAAGACTTAAATAATTGAATTACACATAATTAATAGGTAGGGAATATGGATACATATTTAACAATATACGAAGTACTTCATCTCTTTATTTTTTTTATTTTAACGTTGAGGATTTCAAGTTGGCCAATGCATTATGTCAAAAAAAAAAAAAAACCAATGCACACATGTTATAACATTAATTATTATTTTTAATTTTAATTACATTTTAGTTAAAATCATAAAAGCTTGATATTTTTTAAGTATATTATTAAAACAAATCAAACAACATATCACATTGAGTATATATTTTTTTTACCGACATATATACATCAAAAAGATGATTAAGAGATTGTCTATGAATTTAAGTATAAATTTACATGAGTACTTTAAAATTAGAACCGACCCACCAAATTTAACCTAACCCAAGCCGAAAACCCGAATAATACCTCTAGTACTAGGAAAGGATAAACCTTCATCAACTACCATAACTACCAAAATTTGAGCCCTTACCTTTAAAATTAATCCTCACCAAATGTCCTCCTCTTTCACTCATTTTCTCTCTCCTACTTTACTCCCTCTTTCATCTTCTTCCTCTACTCTTTCTTCTCTTCCAACCCATCAAAACTGTTCACCATTGCTGCAAAAACCTTCTGCAACTCTGACTTCCTCTGCTCCATTTCAAAACCCCACTTCAGAAATCCTTTCTAAGCATTCATGGGTCGAAACCCTTCGTTCCCAAGCACGTTCTGGGCTTCTCATGGAAGCCATTTCCACCTACATTTCCATGTTAATGGCGGGTGTTGTTGCGGACAATTTTGTATTTCCGGCCATTTTGAAGGTTGCAGCGGGCCTTTATGATTTGAATTTTGGGAAACAGATTCATACCCAGGTGTTTAAACTTGGGTATGGGTCGAATTCAACTACTGTAGATAATACCCTTGTGAATATGTATGGGAAATGTGGAGATATTGGGGATGCACGTAAGGTGTTTGATAAAATGTCTGAGAGAGATCAGGTTTCGTGGAACTCGATTATTTCGGTTTTGTGTAGGCATGAGGAGTGGGAGGATGCTTTAGAGGCGTTTTGGGTGATGCAAGAGGAGAATGTTGAGCCTAGTTCGTTTACATTGGTGAGTATCGTGTCGGTTTGTGGGAATTTGGGGGTTGTTGATGGGTTGAGGCTTGGGAAGCAAGTTCATGGTTATAGTTTAAGGAAGGGAGATGTGAGAACTTTTATAGTTAATTCATTGATGGCTATGTATGCAAAATTGGGAAATGTTGATTATGCAAAATCATTGCTTTACACGTTTGAGGATCGAGATTTGGTCACTTGGAATACTATGATAAGCTCATTCTCACAGAATGATCGTTTCATAGAAGCACTAAAGTTCTTAAAGTTTATGGTTCAGAAAGGGGTTAGGCCGGACGGAGTAACAATTGCAAGTGTTTTGCCTGCTTGCTCTCATTTGGAGTTGTTGGATTTAGGAAAAGAAATTCATGCTTATGTGATTAGAAATGAAATTTTGAGTGATAATACTTTTGTGACTAGTGCTTTGGTTGATATGTATAGCAATTGCAAAGAGGTAACTAGTGGTCGTTTAATTTTCGATAACACCCAAGTGAGGAATATAGCTATTTGGAATGCTATGCTCGCTGGTTATGCACTAAATGGACGTTTTGAGGACGCATTGAAGCTTTTCATTGAAATGCTTGAAGTTGCAGGGGTTTCCCCGAATCCCACCACTATGGCAAGTGTTTTACCGTCCTGTGTTCACAGCCAAGAATTCTTAGATAAATTCATGGTTTTGTAATCAAATTGGGCTTTGACAGGAATACTTACGTACAAAATGCTCTATTGGATATGTACTCTAGGATAGGAAGATTGAAATTTCCAAAAAACATATTTGATAGCATGGAACATAAGGATATTGTCTCCTGGAACACAATGATAACTGGCTGTGTTGTCTGTGGACAGCACAGCGAGGCTCTTCTATTGCTTCATGAGATGCAACGACTTAATGATAGTGAGGATGAACATGAGTATGATATAAGAACTTTTCATAGGGCAAATTCAATTACTCTTATGGCTGTTCTTCCTGGTTGTGCTTCCTTATCAGCACTGGCTAAAGGGAAAGAGATCCACGCCTATGCCATAAAAAACAATATGGCATCGGATGTCGCTGTTGGAAGTGCATTAGTTGACATGTATGCAAAATGTGGATGTTTGAATATGTCGAAAAGAGTTTTTGATCTTATGCCGAAGAAGAATGTGATAACGTGGAATGTGCTTATCATGGCTTATGGTATGCATGGGCTAGGAGAGGAAGCACTTAGTCTGTTTCGGGAAATGGCAGCCGAGGCTTTGCAGGGTAGTGACACGAAGCCCAATGAAGTTACAATTATCGCTGTGTTTGCTGCTTGTAGCCATTCTGGCTTGGTTAATGAAGGACTAGATCTTTTTTGCAGCATGAGCGATAGATATGGGATTAATCCTACAGGTAATCACTATGCTTGTGTGGTGGACTTGCTTGGTCGAGCAGGGAAACTGGATGCGGCATATGAGCTCATCAGTAGCATGCCTGCTCAATATGATAAAACAGGTGCTTGGAGCAGTTTGTTGGGTGCTTGTCAGGTGCACAAGAATGTAGAACTGGGAGAGGTTGCCGCAAGGAATCTTATTCAATTGGAACCACACATAGATAGCCATTATGTTTTACTTTCCAATATCTATTCGTCAGCTGGGCTTTGGGAGAAGGCAACAGAAGTCAGGAAAAATATGAAGCAGATGGGAGTGAAAAAAGAACCTGGATGCAGTTGGATTGTGTTCGGCGACAAGGTTCATAAATTCCATGCAGGTGATGTATTGCACCCACAAAGTGAGCAGCTGCATGGTTTCATAGAGGACTTGTCAGAAAGGATGAAAAAGGAGGGTTATGTTCCTGACACTTCCTGTGTTCTTCACAATCTTGACGAAGAGGAAAAGGAGAGTCTATTATGTGGGCATAGTGAGAGATTGGCAATAGCATTTGGCATCCTAAATACGCCTCCTGGATGTACAATTCGTGTTTCAAAGAACCTAAGAGTTTGCAACGATTGCCATACAGCTACGAAGTTTATTTCTAAGATTGAAAAGAGAGAGATAATTCTTCGTGATGTGAGGAGGTTCCATCATTTTAAGGATGGAGTCTGTTCTTGTGGGGATTACTGGTGAACAGTTCTTCATCTCTTTCCCTTTCATATTCTCAATACACAAGATCCTCATCCTACACAAAATGTATCTTTCATATTTTACTTTGTTGTACAAGCTGTATAAAATGTACAATTTTCAGTTGTGAAGACTGGTTTGGAAAACTGGATATACAGAATGCTGTCAAAAAATGTTGGTGTAATACAATCTTCTCATTTATGGTATCTTTTGTTTGACTTCCAACTGTCATGCTTCTAAAATGAAATTGTTTTCTGCTAATGTATTCAGGATCAAAATTTGTAACCTCTTGTTCGAAAAGAAATACAAAATATATGAATAAAAAGATAAGAAAATCCCTGAAAGTTTGAAAGATGGACTTTATTCTCTCTGCATATGACTGTGAAGTTAATATGATTATGTTAGCTCACAAGACATGTATGGTAATCATGTATTTTATCATTTCTTGTTGTGTAGATGTCATGGACAAAAGATAGAAACTAATGCATGTTTAAAGGTCTCCTTTAAAGGTACAATGCAACAGTGCTGCTGCCCTAACGGGAAAAATCTGCTACAGTAATACTATAAAGCAAACTCAGTCTCTTGATCCAAGAGCAGGTATAAATATTTCTTTTATTTATATTATTTAATTCCTTGCAATATTGCTAAAGGAATTTAACGTCTAATGGCTGTGGCTTTATCTATAGTTCATATGCACTTTGGATTGCAGCCCTCTTCCTCTTTGATTTGTTTAACGGGCCTGATAACCACTTATGGTATGCTTATGATTGGACAATGAAGCAGTGTATGGCTCTGTTATCTTCACCTGATTTATGAGTATTGAACTGACATTTTTTTTACCTGTTAGTCTGATTTTATTATTGATTGCAACTGATAATTATTGATTGCAGCTGGTTTTTGATGATGAAAATTGAATTTCATTGATTAATACTGAGTTTTGACGATTCTAGTATATTTTGTATATTAGAGTTATTGAGTTTAAATTGAACTTTATTTAACGAATTTGATTTTTAAAAAAAAATGATTTAATAAAGTTCAAACTCAGATAATTACTTTATTTATGGGATTTGAACTTTATTAAATCTTAACTGAGTTTCAGGTCATTGTAAAAGTCATTATATAATCATGCATGCTATGTTACAAATATTCCAATTATGATATACATTATTAAATATTATTCTCTTCTTCTAAATTAAATGTTTGTGCATGTCTTAATGGAAAAATGTTATGCTTGGTTTGCACCCTAGGCTGCTCATTATTCAACTATCTCCTTTCATTTTGTGACTTTTTGAGCTCATAAACTGTTGGGGTTGCTACAGTTTTTTTGACATTTATCTGAGGATCTAGGGAATCAACTCCTTACCAAAATCTTTGACAATTTTGATCGGACATGCCTGTATAAGTGGAATACAATTAGTGTTACTTCAAGTACGGATGGAACATCAGCTTTGAGTCGCCTATTTTTCATAAATTTTTATAAGAGATGATCACTAATCTGTCTAGTTCTAAGTGTTAGCTTTAACTATATCAAAGAACCTAAACAAAACTGCACCTGGACGAATTAGAGAACAAAGAGGGGAAGTAAATACGAATAAAGAGAAAGGAAATTCCAAAGTAACAATAGAGTTCTACATGATAGAGACTAATGGAAAATTTTGTTTGTTCCATTGATTGGAGCTCAGAATTCCTCTGTGCCAGTCTGTTATTCTATATTTTGCCTTTCAACATATTTTGGAAAAACAAGACTAATTTCTTATACCTTTGATCATTGTTTTATGGGCCTTTCTGTTCTTTTACTGCAGTGGCTGGGGGATTCTCCTCCCGCCCTGTTTTGTTGTTCAGATTTGGTTGTTAATATTCTATAGTGTGATAAAAGGGATATACCTTCGTTCATTTTTAGGATGTGGCAACCTGGCAGAAGAAAGGGCGGAGAGAGGGGGGGGGGGGGAGCCAGTAGTAAAATTAAGCACAGTATTTCAGCAATTCAGCATTTGCCTTTTCAAACAGGACAAAATCAATTAAACTTCATTATAAATGTCTATGAATAAGCTGTTGTCGGTGGTTCAATGGTCACCTTAGCTCATTATGCTAATTCTTGCTAGTACTCGCTTTCCTTTTCCTTATCCTTTTTTTTAAATCTATATGCTAGTTGAGATTTAAAAAAAGTCAAAAAACAGGTTTAAGAAAGGAAATCAAAAATTACTTATCCTCTCTTAATCCTTATCAATTGCTTGAATAATTAATTGGTTCTGTTCCAAATCCATATGGCACCAGCATCCATCAACATGGGTACGAGTTTGCCTTGGACTTGGAGGCTTATGACGTCATTAGCCCCACCTATGAGCTTTTGGCCTATGAACACAGCTGGTACTCCTGGCTTACACCCTAGCTTTTGTAATGCTCGATCTATTTCCCTTCCATTTGGAAGTTCATCCAGCTCATATACTGTTGGGTTTGCTCCGTAGCTGCTTATCAGTTGTTTTATGGAATGACTCATGCAGCATGAGCTCTTGCTGAAGATGACCACTGGTTTGTCTTCCACTAAACGGTTTACTGTATCCATGATGCAGTTACCACAGCTATGGTACGATGAGAAGGAGAGGTTTTAGCAAGACTAGTGATTCAATATGTAGGTCTTTTGTTTTCTCTGTTTGAAAGACAAATGGTTCTTTGCATGTATATCAAACTATTGAAGTAAAGGCCTCTATTTATAGAGTGCTAGTCAGCATTCCTAAGAGTTGTCTGATAAAGAATATGGTGCGGAGAAAAGTAGTCCCTTTCTATTCTTGGTTAAATCCATTGCTAGTGGATGATGACATTTTTCTCCTTTTTAAGAGTTTTAACCCTACCTTGCATTGTATAGCAACTTATATTAGGGCATTTTATTTAAGTAGTATGTCTGTTGCACAAGGACACATGACGGTCTTGGTTTGTCTAATAAATGCCAGTACCTTAGTATCAGCAGCAACCTTTTATTGGATTGACAGTTCATAAATGAAAACCACCTAACCTCTATCAAATTTAACTTCAGAACAATTTTTCGTTTCTTTAGTTTATCACTAATTATCTCCTAGGAAAGTTTATCATTGTTCATTTGTATGTCATTGTTCTTTTTTCCCACTGCAGCAGAAAAAAATAATTGGTCAAGGAAAGGGACAAACTAGGAATGTAATGCTTTGGATTAATAAATCTTCCAATTGTAATCTTACCAGTCTTACAATTGTAATCTTCCCTTAATGCTTTGGATTAATAAATCTCATGATAATTTAAATTATTCTGTCTTTACCCAATAACCTTTTAACCATTTTTCCTGTTTAGTTAGTCTGCCTCATGCTTATTAAGATCTTATAAGACTCCATATTGCGCTAAGATTTTAGTACTAAGCCAAAATTAAGAACTTCAATCAAATCATAGAAAGCTTTGTTGATGTTGAAAAACAATTTGCACACATTGAGGGTAATGGATTTTTTCGCGAATTTATTAGCAGTCAGTTTAAGCAATACATCTGCGTTGAAGACAAAATAGATTATACACACCAGATTTTGCTAACAAAGGTTAAAGCTGAACTAGATGTGGCAGATACTTGCGTGTAATAATTTAATTAATTGGTTCTAGATATTCTTGATCTATGTTGATAGCTTCAAATTAATACAGATATTTACTGAGATTCCATCACTTTTTTTTTTTTTTTTTTTTGTTTACAGATATGCCTCATACTACAGAGTTTGTGAAAAAAATCCTTTGCTCAACATTCTGCCGTCTAATACTTATGTAACCAGCTCAATGTATGCCCAAGGGCCAAAAAATTTTCCCCACTTTCTGTGACAAGCTAGGGGCAACTGACCTCTTCATATATAAGAGATAGGTATTCCTCTATTACAGAGATTCCCTGCGCTTCCTTTACTCTTTTTATTTATTTTTTATTTTTTCTCTCACTTTTTGGATAGATGAATAAGAAAACAACATAGCTATAACTTTTATCTGCATTTAATTTTTGCTTAACAAAAAAGTCTCTTGCATTTGGACTGTAAAGTAGAGAAACAAATTTGTCATGTCTACTATCGTTTGTTCATTTGCAATTTACAGGCTGATAAAAACCTTGATCTTGTTCACAATTATCAATTTGTTGTTTATCACTTTTATCATCATGGCTGTAAAGTTGCCTTATCTTATTAATTAGTACTTTCTTCGATTTACAATAATTGCATCATTTTATCCATGCACTTTTGCATTACTTTGATTTTAAATTTCTATAATAATATTTCAACAAAAGTCATTAAAAAAAAATATTTTTACAATATACATTGAGATTAAACCAACCACAAATAAAATAATGATTTTTTATTGTTACATACTTGTGTACTGTACATGCTCAAAGTTAATTTGAGAATGATGAAAAGAGTCAATATAATGAAACTATTGTGAAACCGATGAAGTATATTAAACTTGACTCGGCAGTTTGAATTTATATTTGTACATATATAATGATGACTGCAAGTTATGTTTATTTTGACTTATAAAAAGAATCTGGTTGCAGATAATGGCCAAGTACGGAGGGGTTTCTGTTATTGTAGTTGAAGTCATCTTATCTGATTATATATTTAATGATTTTTTAAAAAATAAAGAGACAGAGGGATACAAGAGCGACTCCTCGCATCACATAAACATGACGATAAGCAAGTTGCCAACATTTGCAATCCAAACATCTCTTTCTAGCTTTCTAGAGAGCTTATTGGTGAATTGTTTTAACTTTATTGATGCTCGGATGAATAGGATGCTACAAAAAAAGGGATTCTTATTCTTGATCCTGAAGATAAATACTCATTCTTAATGTGGCATACGTAATATCATAATTGAAAAAGTCTACTTTTTTCTGAAAGTATTCTTATCAATTCTGCTTCAAAAATCATCTTCACTTTTGACATCAGATCAATGTATGCAGGACAAAACCTTTTGTACTCCTAGCTGAAGATCCCTGCTCGACGTGGCTTCTTCATATTGGTGAGGTTTTTCCTTCTCTTTTTATTCCCAACAGTCTATATTTTAAATTTTTTTCTTGGTTGCTTTCTGGATGGAATAATTAAATTTGCTCAAAATCTGTAGAGTATGCAGAATTCATCTTGATTTCACCTTTATCTTAGTTTCTATTGTTTATATGAAACTTTACGATTCAGTGTTGTAAACTGAATGCTGCTTCTACTATCCAGTACTCTACTTATCAAACTCAAAGCTTTGCTCATTGATATATGATCAAATTGTGAGGCTATGAATAATGAAATATATATTTTGGATGACCATCACAGCTCACAACCATGGAGTAGCGATCACTGAATAAGGACTTGACTAGTTAAACTAGAATTTTTGGAAAAGATCTGTACAACTGATAATTTGGATTTTGTGTTCTTGAGTGTCTAATCTGTGAAATTCATTTAAGTACATTCCGTGTGATTTTTTGCCTTTAATAATGAGTGTTAATTGTAAGTTCCTTTGTTTTGATGCTTAAGTTGCAGTGATATACTTGTTTGGTGGCCTGGGAAATTCTTTTTCCCCCAACTATGATCCTCTAATAGCAGCTTTCAGCAAAACATGTAATTATGAAATAAATGGAATTATATTTTCTCATCCAGGTAAATTATAATTATGATATGAAGATCCTTTAGGGGAGTGAACATCCACCTTTGCAGTACCATATTACATCAGAGGGATGAAGGTAAATATGTTGGCTTATGGTTTATGTCAGACTTCTAGCTGAAAATTAGGTTTAAAATGTTATAAAATTTGGATCATTGAGCATCATGAAAATGGAGGAATCAAACAAAGAAAATGTACATGTACAAATGACTTTTTGTAAAGTTTTGGAAGTGCTGATAACATATATTACATTATAAATTATAATCATGATCTACAAAACTAGTTCCAGACCTGATTTAAGGGCTGAATTAGATAGAGGATTAAGAGACTCTTTATGATGTAGAGAGTGGGTAAATAGGGGAACAAAAAATAAAGAAAAGGTCACAAATCTGATGCATCATCAAACCCAAATGGCCTTGGCTTCCATTAGGATTGGCACCAGTCTTCCTTGAACTTGAAGGCTGATGACTTCTTTAGCCCCACCAACATACTTCTGCCCGATAAAGACCGCAGGCACACTGGGTACTTGCCCAAGTTTTTGCAATGCAGTATCAATTTCATGTCCCTGTGGAGTTTCATCGAGCTCATAAACTGTTGCATTTGCTCCATAGCTGCTGATAAGCTGTTTCATTGAGTGGGACATACAACAGGAAGTCCTGCTGAATATCACCACTGGCTTTCCTTCTACTAAGTGCTGAACTACTTCCATATTTAGAGACTTAAACAATATTGGGTTTCTTCTTTTGTTTTGATTTGGTGGAAGAGTATGATGAGAAGCTTGAGATGATGTTATATCTTTTGAAACTTGTGAAAAGGCTATTGGTTTTGTGCTGAGTTTTCTGAGTTGCTACACCCTTGTATTTATACTGCTCGGGCAACTAGTAAAATTCCTTACGTAGCTACCTTTAACTAAAAGGATAGTAAGGAATTATCCTGAAATAATCCTTCCTATTTCCCGATGTTGACGCCTCAAGATTACAATGGGAGACTATGCTTAACATTTTTAAGCACAATTTTTTTTTCTCTCTTTTGTTTTTTTGGCGAAGTCATATCTCAGAAGTATCTTTACTGTAGAAACCCAAAAGTTTTGCTTTGGACTTAAGTACCTTCCCAAATCTCTTTATAACAAGTTACATATAATCTAAGTGCAATCCTATGAAAACGAGAGAAAGAAATAAAGAAATGTGTGATTTTGTTCATTGAGAAAGTGACTAACTACGAGACAGATTATTAAGAATTATTGAACTCATCATTTTTTGATGATGATCTGGTCAAGCTGATAGAACGTTTAGAAAAATGAATGAATCTTTTTTTTTTTAATCTTATTCCCATTTGTTTAGATAGAACGTCAATTTCATTTAGAACTATATACTCTCTTTTTCCAGAATTAACTGTCACACTGTTCTAATTTCTCATATATAAGGTTTCACTTTTCACCGCAAGTACACATGCCATTTTTAATAGCTGCTTTTTTTTTCATCATATATCTAGCACTCCACTTAAGTGGGGATATGTTTAAAAATTTATGCGTAATTAATTTTTATTTAGTAAATGTAACATCTGTTTTTGATCGTTCAAATTTCATATGTAACTATGAATTCTAGACTGAGGGAGTTATAGTTTTTACATATTCAGTTACAGGCTATAATCAAGAGTGACACATAGGTTTTAGTTAATTCACTTAATTTTGAAGTTATGGTATTTTCATAGTTTGATTTTATCTGATTTTGTTTAACAGCCACAAGTCTCATATGTATGCTGTTCTTATACTACCACACTGTATAATTAAAAAGTGTTAATAATACTTAAGCCATATGTTTCATACTCAAACTAGTGTGTACCCCGGGCGATGTCCCGAGTTGTTAGTTTGTGTACTTAATTATGTTCGACTATTCGTATAGTAAGTGTGTGTAGTGTTTCGAGCGTTGCTTCGAAAACCTTATTTTATTTTATTTTTTATTTTTTTTTAACATCTGTATTTATATTTATTATGTGAAAAATAAATGGATTATATTACCTCTAATTTACTTAATAATTGAAATGCATATATAATATTATGTTAAACTTGAAACATTAATAATAGTTGGTTGAGATGGTAAATGTATTACCTATATGTATTAGAGGTTATGGGTTCAAATCTTGTTCAAAACATATTTTATTTTGTTAAGTGAAGTGGCTAGCTTACGTGGCGCATATACTTTGGATGATGATGTGGCATTGAGACATAGCGCACATACTTTGAAGAGTGTCATGTCGCACCGTTCATTTAAAAGGAACGCCTATTAATATATAGTATTGATTATCATTTGATCAACTTCATATTATTACACATCAATTTTTTAAATTTCTGTCACTAAACCAATATTTGGTCAAGTAGTTGATTGCTCCTCGCAAATTATAACACAATCTGATATGGTATGAGAAATTTACTGTTCTGAATATTCATTTGGTACGGCTAATCTGTGTTTTATCTGTTAGTTTTCTATTTGCATAGTAAGTTAGTATATATAATCAGGGGATAAAATATGAACCAATACTTTGTTTCTATTCATTCTCAGAATAGTTTAAATTGTTGCAATACAATATTTGATTCAAAAAGTGACCAAGAATCTAAAAAACTATTTCTATTGCTTTATAAAAGCCATTTATATGATAATACCTTGATGTGGATACAAGTGTCAGGTATGACTGTATGAGTACATACATATACATGTATCTATTAATGTAATATATTATTCAGATACAAGTTTCTATTATGTTTTATGTGTATATTAAGCATATTAACATTGTCCTATGATTGGACTAGGGAGCGGGATACAATGTGCCTGAAACATATTCTAATATTTGTTGAATTTTTTGTTCACCTTTCACAAACTTATACATACACATTTTAAGTTCACATACTTGCTATACGTTATGTTATTCCCATCTCCACCCTTGAAATTTTTTAAAATACTATACATTATTCCCTAGCATGAGAAAAAAACTTTTCTGTTAAAAAAGTCATTAGCACTGCTTTAATAAAAAAAATCTTTCCAATTATGGCATCTCTAAGCTGATAAATTTTCACACATTTTGATGCCATCCTTTTAATTATTTTATTAAAAAGAACATATCGTCATGTTAATGTATATAATTCTTGCTTATGAATGTAAAATATAGGGAATTACAAACCCTTACCCAAGTATACTTTAACTAGAAAGTGAAGGGAGGCTACTTTAAAGTTCCTTCACATTTTATCTTATAGATGCTTTGAAATGCATGGTCTGAAAGTTCATGGAAAACTAGTGAATATTAAAATGAAGAGTAAGGTCCACAAAATTTCAAATTGTATTTTGCTTTTGTTATTCAATTTAGCTTCCTTGTTTTTTTGTTTTGACCTTATGTTTGGTAGGATTTCTTTAGTGGTGATTTGATTATTGTTTCATTCTTAGTTTCTTGTTGATTTGAATGTAGACCCCATCTTATATACTTGCAGTAAATCTTGTTAAAAAAAAACTAGAGATTTGTAAAACGTTTTTGGATGGGTCCATCTGCAATGTTGAAGCTTAAGATTGCATTTCTTAAGGATAAGGACAAGTAAACTGAATAGTCCTAGGAAGTAAGTTAGATGAGGACAATCCCAACAAGTGGAATGGTTTATCATGGCACCAAAAGAAATCTTTATTGGAAATGCATATGGCTTAATAAAACCTGAAATGACTACTATGCTTTAACCTACCGACCTTAAATTGTTCTATTCTTTAAGAGGTTCAGATTCAATAATTGTTGACATTAGGAAAAGTTTGGAATAGGAACATAATTTATACAATAATGATGCTTAGTCACTTCAGGAATCTGATTTTGAAGATTTTCCTCAATCTCCCTTGTTATGTACGGATGTACGTTGTATGATGCAAAGTTTTCTGGTTAATGTTATTTTGTTTCTCCATGCTTAACCTCACTAAAATACAGATTGTATATACATTTTGGAGACTATGGAATTTGAGACTCACAACATTTTGAAGCGTTATAATTTCCTCGACTATACAATTAAAATGATTGGTCGTATAGTCTCTTTATTATGCTATGAATATTGACTATAATTCATCTTTTACATGGGTTGGAACTAAAGAGTAACAAGAAAAAGGGAAAACGGAAAAAAAAAAGTGAAAAAAAATATAAAGATCCTGAGTTTATTATAAGTCTAAAAATACAATTAGATTTGAATACCTTGTAAATTCATGATTGTATTAACACAATCAGCTTTCCAGGATGCTAAGGGACATATTAGTCTAGGGACAACTACCCTCTTAACAAGTAAGTGTTTTGCAGGAAGGGAATATGCTTCTTCAGATTGATTGAATTTGATGGTACATTTATACGGACGGAAAGCAACAGTCCACCATGCAACAGATTCTAATCTTTTCTGATCCATGAAGCCAGGATGCAAGGTCAGTTCTTGGCATCACATAGATTTTATTTTATGCTCTCTTATAAGATATCTTTTAATGTTTGCAACTTGCTATAATTGATGATGTTGGACATGTGTGCTTTAGCTAACTTTCCTGATGTCCAAAGGAGAAAGTTTCTGTGGATTAAAACAAAGCCTGAGAAAATAATATTATCTCAATGTTAACATGATGGCTTAATGATATTTTCTTCTTAAATATTCTACGTGCAAGTGTGCAACTGCATGCCAAAACTGTGACTTTCTGCAAATTATATTCTTAAGTCTGATGTGGCAACTAAATGTAGTGTGAAGGAAATCATTCCGTTTTGCATCTTTGTTGGTGCTTTCTTTTCCTTATTTTTCAATCTTGAGGTTCGTCATTCATTTGATCCTCATTCTTTACCAAACTTTATTAGATTTTGTCGAAGGCTTTGGATTGTAACTAGCTTGTCTTTTTTGGTCATAACCTCACTTTGGCTTTTCATTCTCATCTACCGATCATTTACATTCTGCCTACATTACTTTAACCACACTACTAATGTAGTATCATGATACATGTCTAAGACTAAGCTATGCGACTCTGGAAAGTACACATGTTTTTAGCTGATACTGGAGTGTCATGCGTCGTTAATTGTAATGTCACTGTCTTATATGAAGTATAATGATTGTTTACATAGGTAGCAATAGAACTTTTAATTAAAGTTTTATGAATAAACAAGAATTTTAGAAAATCAATTACCAAAGAATAGAAGCTTTTTTTTTAACATATACAAAAACTTTGTAACTGCTCTGGAGTGACTAATTCTTCAAAAAGATTTATGACTAGAAATCTGATACTCAGAAAGTCAGAAGTAACAAGAGAAACAATGTGGGACTGAATATTAGAAAAATTTTCGTTTTTAATGTTGTAGGTAGGTCCATTTCATCAAAATCACTGAAAGACAAGCATGGAAATACATTAAATATATCAATATCCATTCCCCCCCCCCCCCCCCCCCCCAAAAGATTAACCCTCTTTAAACCCATTTTTGATTAACATGGAACATTGGTGTCTTAGTCATGTACAAAAAGCCTGGTGTTCGGCTGAACATTAGTCTATTTTTTACTTCAGGACAACTCTTTCATACTTTCTACACTTCACTTGAAAACATTCTGTTCCAAGACGAGGTTCCTAATTAAGTGGCTAAATACCTACAAAGTATCTCCGTATGTAAAATCAGTCAAGTCAATATCACGTAAAATTTTTTAATTTCTCTGTTACTATATTATCAGAGGCGGAACCAAAAGGCTGTAATAGGAAGAGTAACAACCCTAATAAAAGACAAAAATATAACTTAAATTATTTCGTACAATACCAAATGATTGTTGGTGCAGTGGTGATTGAGGCTGCACTTGGTAGGAAAACCGTGTGTTTGATCCTCTAGAACAACAATTGGGAGGCGATTGGAACTTAACCATTCAGAACTGAGCCCCGAATCCGGATTAACCCAAAGGGTGAACCGGGTCGAACACCAAAAAAAAAAAACTAGTTTGTACAAGCAATTATAGAATCTAGTCATTTGTGTATATGAATATTCTTCATTTACACTTAAAATTATATTTAATTATTTTCATTTGATTTTTCTACTCTTGGTGCTCCATGGTAGTTATTGCTTTTCCTCAAAAGAAAAAAAAAAAAAAAAAAAAAAATGGTAGTTACTGCTTATCCATGTTTAGTATATTTGCAAGACTATTCTCTAGTGTCATTTTTATGTATATTTCTCCAAACTGGGACTGCTCCACAATAATATTTTGTACAACAACTCAAAAGTTTGACATATGATGCTGGATTTATATGATCAATCGAGGCAATGTGAAATGTTACATTAATGTGGAAGGTTTACAGAAGTTTTTGTGAAATAGATACTCATTACTTGAATATTTTGATTACACCACGGAATGTAGCCAGCTGCTTACACTAGTACACTAGGGGCTAATGTATTTACCCTTCCATCTAATCATTAAAAAGATAGATAGAAGGGGATCAAAAAGAAGAATATACATCCTTCTAGTTACAATTTTGAAAATTAAAGCAGCAACAACCAAAAAAAAAAAAAAAACCTGAAAATTATGGATTTATATTTTTCTTGCTAGATGTAAGTTCTTATATTTTAAACCCATAAAGCTCCTGACTCCTTGAGCATTGGCACAAGTCTTCCTTGAACTTGCAGACTAATAATTTCTTTAGCTCCACCAACTAATTTTTGCCCTATAAAAACAGCAGGTACACTTGGCTTAACCCCTAGTCTTTGGAGAGCTTTATCTATTTCTTGTCCGTTGGACATGTTATCCAGTTCATAAATTGTTGCATTTGCTCCATAACTGCTTATGAGTTGCATCACTGAGTGGCTTATGCAACAAGAACTCTTTGTAAAGATTACCAAAGGCTTCTCTTCAACCAATCTGTTCACAACATCCATTGCTTGTAACTTACTGAGAATTTTGTAACTTTAGGTTTTGGGAGGTGAAAATGGCTCTTTTGTAGTTGGTGTGTTGTGTGTGTGTGTGTGTTTTCTATGTGAAATTTCTGGATTTTAAACAGAAGAAGGTAGATGAAGACTGAATATAGTATTATGAGAAGGATTCACAATTGGATGTCTTGCTTTTGTTGTGAGTAAGTATGACCTATCATGCCATCTATTTATAGTCCAACTAGGTCACTGCATTAGACCTTTTTTTAAATTTATTTGATAAAGTGCTTAAAAGTTGTGGAACAAATGGTGCTTGATGAGATTCCTTTTATTCCAAAATATCATCTCTCATTTCTGCTGAGTACCTAGTTATTTCTGGAGTTCTGTAGAAAATGAGATATGCCGAAGTACCTAAGATGGAATCTTCAGTTTCGAGCTGCTGATAATAGAAACAAATTGATGCTCAAAGGTGTCAAATAGAGTGTAAGAGGGTTCTATTTTATTTTCAGTAAAGATATCTTTGGAAAAAATCAATATGTTGATTGACCATACATGATGAAGAACCATGTCTGGATTCAAAGTATTATTAACTTTTTCACATCACAAGACACCTAAAAGCTTCTGCAAAAGATTCTCCATTAGCGAGAGCTTCTATAATTGGATTAGGCATTAAGGACTAGTAACGAGTTTTAACTTTGGATTGTTTTCTTTAGATATAAGTGGGCATGTTGAATTGCCAACATTGTTGTCATGGTTTGTTAAATAGCACTTTCTCCCGCTGAAATATAATCCATAGTGTCATTTGGACGCAAAATATCAGTATTTTGTGCTCATTAGTTGACATAATAAGGGACAATGTAGTTATAAATTTTAGTGTATCCACAGGATTTTAAACAGTCAAGGGCAGCGGTCAATAGTTGGGTAGCCATTATATTTCAAAACCATGATTGTCTGTTGAAAAAGAAGTGCAACTGTGGTTTAATAAAATATGTGAGCTGAAAGAACTTCCCTAGTCCTTCAGGAATCTAATTACCATAGTCTGTTTTCAACTTTAAGTGTTTATTTTACTTCCATGACATACTGCATTTACAATTTATTATTGAAGTTAAATCACATTTTGCATAAAAATTTCTATTGTCATTATAAAACACAGTCTCCTAATGCTTAAAACATGTGATGCAACATGCAAGCCAGAAACTTTTAATTAGACAAGGATTTCATGAGTCTATAGTGTGAACTGACTGTCAACATAGTTTATTCTGGATCATGTAGGACAGGGTGCGAAAGTGTATGAGGTGCACTGGGGGAAGTAATTAGGGATGCAAGCTAAAGGTTGATTATTCACAGCACATAAATGTGTTGAATAAGGTTCTCTTGGCTTTATATTTGTCTATTTCTGCCTCTTCTTTGCAATAGATAACGTGGAGCTCTATATGCACATAAATTGCAGCTGTACAAGCTGAATTGTACTTGGGTACATAGCATAAAGGAGTGATTGTGATAACCTTGTTAACCTAGAACACTCTGTTGATGTAATTGGGTTTAGATACTATCACTTTCTAAGACCATAAAAAAAAAGTACTCTGTCACTCATTATTGAGTAAAATTTCCACAGGAAGAAGGGGCAGCAACCTTTGGTTTATCTGAAATTCTGATCAGTCATAATTATCCTGATTTTCCATGATTATATTCTATATACTTAGCAATTAATATTCTTCAATATCAATTTGCATTCATAATGGTGTCACTATATAAATTAAATCTATGTTACTATGCTAAGTATTAAAGGATAGGATTGTTTTGTAATTATGAGAAACTAAAAACAAATGTGAAATTAAAAGAGAATTTAAACTTATCTAAACAGATTAGCTCATTGCATAGTATAGTGAAAAGTTTTCTGTTCATTGTTTGTCTATTATGCCACGACAGCCAAGAATATGAAGGATTCAAGCAGCTATTCTTTTGCTTTGGGTGGAAACGAGGTGGAAAATTCATAACCTTAGCATTGAGGTATGAATTTTAGCATCTTAATTGATTCCTGACAGCTTTTTTATTTTTAAAAAGAAGGTTCCATTCATATTCTTTTGATAGGCAGAATTTCAGAAACAATATAACGTCTGGTTTCAAAAGACAGCCCTACGAGAAGCCAATGGCCAATTCAGTTGACAACCTTTCTATAAGGATCTAAGGCAATCTACCCTTATCAACGAACTGAGGCCTGAAGGGATAAATACATGCTTGTGTCAGAGGAATAAAATCAGCTGTACTTTAAGTACATCTGGAATATCAGCTTTGGGTCACTTCCCTCCCTTATTTGTCATAAACTACAATGCAGGTAAGAGATTGCTGCTCTGCTATCTAAAATCAGTTACGTACCCTGAGATACCACCTTTTCCTTTCTTTCACTTTATTTTCTGAATGAGAAAAATGTTATTTTTTTATGTTATCTAGATAATTTTATACAGTGCATGAGGCAACTTGATGTAGCTAGTCGTGTTTCCTTGACATGCCTCAAAATTCCAATAGTCGTGTTTCCTGGACATGCCTCAAATTCCAATAGTCAATATTCCTGGTTTTTTACAACTTGATCTTCTGACCTTCCTTGGTGTCTGGTTTGGAGGATTATAATCATTATATAGTTCCACTTCCTTGGAATATTATTTTGATTTGGTTGATTTATAAATTTGGAAGGTATTGCTACTGGACTGTACTGATTACATACCTCTCTATAATTAAATATGCTTGAATGTGCTTGAACGTACAAGATAAATTAATTCTCGAGTACATTACAAGTGAACTGTGGATTACACTGACAGATTTTGCTTTAACTGACCTCCGCAATTTAGATGGTGGATCAAGATGCACAGTGAGCACTATGCACCCAAGGAACACAAAAACTTACGTAAAAGAACATGACATATGATAAAAGAACACAAAATAGGATTTATATTTGTAGCTAAAATAGTAAATAAAAGAGTATACATACATGCTGTTCTTTTATCACAATGACACATTCTTTTACATATGCACATTTGCTCTTTGGGTGCAAATGAGGAATGTGCGCTCTTGCCACAGTATACTGTTCTCATCACCTCCCAAACCTATTCTCTGGTGGACATACAATTTTTGTTTAATATAACAGAGCAATATTTTCTCTGTATAATTCATACAGTAGTGTTCTGTATTAGTTTTTTCTCAATATAATGACCTCAATGATTGAACCTTGGAAATTTACAGTATTTCACTCTCAAGTCTTTCCTTATTTACTTCCATCAATGCATTGTCTCAAGTCTCAAGTCCCAAGGACATTGATTATATTATATGATACTACCTTCATTTCACAATGCATGCAATGTTTTAACTTTTTCCATTATTTAGTTATTAATTTTGACCACATCTTTCACTAAAATATAAAAATTAAATACCAGTATAATTTTTTGGATTGATTTCAATGTATATATTCAAAATATAATTTTTCTATAATTTTTTAGCAATGGATATACACAAAAATTAATTGTCAAAGTTGTGGTTTGACAAAGTAGAAAAGACAGAACGTGCATCTATTGTAAAATTGAGGTAGTATATCTTCATTAAATCATGTTCTCTTCACCTTATTTATGTTGAACTTAATATTTTTAGAAATTATTTTAATTGAATTTGAATTATTTTGCTAACTTTTTATTTTTACTTTACTGATTAAATCATATTTTCACCGATTCTCTATTATATTTATCCTTACAAGTTACTAATTTTTACTAATTATAATGTATTTAAACTAAACTAAACTTAACTTATTTTTATTGAAATGATTTTTTTTTTTAAGAAGAAATGAAAATATATTAATTGATTTATAAATTAGTTTTAGCAAATATTATATAAATAAGGTGCTGAGAATAGGCCTTGATGCAGATTGTGAAGGTTTTGATGCTAAAGAAATACTCATCTTTGATCTTAAATTTCCCAATATATCCGTAAACAAACTTTCTCATATCAGTAACTTTGATATTTGATTTATAGTTAGAGTGAAGTGTTGCTTTAGTTTTTTTTATTTGCATTTACATCTATATAGGCTATTCGAGCTCTTGGTACTTTACGTTTATACAGCTATGTCCTTGTGTAGACTTTTTCTCCAAAATGTGATCAGGGAATTACTGCTTTGCTGGTCTGTAATTTTGTATGACAACTGAAATTTGATCATATTTGATGATGAATATATAATTAACTAAAACCACACTAGATAACACATAAGTCTGGGAGTTATACAAGTGTTTATTGGAATTGATACTTCAATTACTCGAAATTAATTTACACAACAAAATGTAGGCTGCTGCTTACACTAGTAGTTATGTATGAAAAGTAAAACAGCCTTCCCTCCTATTCAGAAAAATGTAGATGGAAAGGAAGCCAAATGAAGAATCTAGATCCTTCTAAGTTAAAAATCTGAAAATTTTGAAATTTTAGTTTTCTTGCTACACATATACTAGTTTATTCTAAACCCATAAAGCTCCTGCCTCCTTCAGCATTGGCACAAGTCTTCCTTGAATTTGCAGGCTTATAATCTCATTAGCTCCACCAACTAACTTCTGGCCTATGAAAATAGCTGGAACACTTGGCCTTAGGCCTAGTCTTTGCAGGGCTTTATCAACTTCTTGCCCATTGGACATGTTATCTATCTCATAGATTGTTGCGTTTGCTCCATAACCGCTTATGAGTTGCATTACTGAGTGGCTTATGCAGCAAGAACTCTTTGTGAAGATTACTAAAGGCTTCTGTTCCACTAATTTGTTCACAGAATCCATTGCTTGATAGGTAGAGTACTTGTAATTTTAGCTTTTGGGAAGTGTGAAGGACTTTTTTTTCTTTCTTTGTGAAGCTTCTTGATAAAAAAAAGAAGCAGGCTCTAAGGATTGAATGTGATGTTGTGATCAAGTTTTAGGACTAGAATTCTTGCTTCTGCTGTGAATAAAAATGAGCTACCAGACAATCTATTTATAGGCTATTTTGGTTATAGTGGATGTTACTTTTCTCTGATTACATACTCAAAAGTTGTGGATGAAATCGTACTCAGTAGTAGTCTTTTTATTCTTAAATATCTCCCTTCTCAATGTTGACAATGACCAAGGTCTTCTATCTCTTTGAGAAGGAATCTTCTTTTTGTTACCGAACTAACAGTGCTTACTTTTTTCTATTGAAGAATTTGAGCTGCTGATGGTAGAAAATACTTGATGCTAAAAGAAATCACATATATTTTTATAAATCACTATGGTAATTAACTGTACATAGTGTAAAATTTTTATGGACTTTTACTATCTGCACCACACCTAAGAGCTTCCACAAAAGCAATAATCAGGGATTGTGAACTCATTACTATTTGCCTTTTTCTCTTTATTATTAGAGGGCCTATTGAATTGCAATTGTAGGCCTTCCTGATTTGTAAATATGTATTCTCTTCTACATAAGTTCATTAAATTTTAAAAAAATGTATCTTCCTTCTAGTGAATCGAAAAGTTTTAGTGGAATGGGATGGAAAACCGTTTTAACTTGCAAAATGAATGTGCAGAGGGAATGGTTCAACAATTTATCCATGTCTTTGGCATAAAGTGTTTTACCAGCAAGCTTCCTGGCTGCAAATCAGTGACCTGTTGTGACAGTCTGCACAAATTTCAATTGCTTGCCAAAAGTTCAGTTAGCATGAAATAAGTTGCATACTTGCCTGATTGCATCTCTTTTGGATTCATAGGGTGCTTAGTAAAGGAGAAATGATAATTTAAAACAAAAAAAAAAAAAAAAACTAAAACTCTTATAATTTAGTGTCAAATTGAGTCTTTAAACTAGTTGTAAATGTTATTCTATTTCATATTAACAAAATCTAAAACAGTCTAAGTGCAACGGTCGATTTATCTTGTCAAAGAAGTGTGAACTTGATTCATTTGAGAGTGCAAGATGAAAGTACCGCATAAGCTCTTCCAAAATCTTATTATCATGTATGACATTCAAAATGATATATATGCATTCTTTATGTGTGGCACATAACAAATACTTTTTTTTTTTTTTTTTTAAAAGCTAACTACATTTAGTAATGCTAAACAACATTCTTTCTTTTGTCTCTGTGTGTGTGTGTGTGTTTTGTTTGAATGTTAAAAAAAATGTTATGTTTTTGTCATATGCAGGTATTAAAAAAAGGATAAAATGAGGATGTAGTGTGAAAGGAATGTCACCATGGGTTATTCTGGATCATGCTGGACAGTTCACAAAAGAGTATGAGGCACGGTGCAGAAAGAAAAAAAGGGATGCAAGGTTAGGTTCTCTTAGCATCCTATTATCATTTGTACAATAAATAATGCAGTGCTGCTTTTGGCAGAAATGGTATCAGCAGGATAAGTTGAATTGTACTTGGGTAGTTACTATTAACGAGTGATTGAGATAGCTTCGTATATCTTGATATCTCTTTTGATGTGATTGTAACTGGGATTATAAACTATCAACTTCTCACACTATGGAATTTTTCTATTCTGTCATAGGATTATAAGACTGCAACCTTTAATTTATCTGAAGATTTGATTATATCTTCACTTTTTCTGGTTTTCCATTATCATATTTATTCCATCCATAATGGTGTCATCATAGTAAAAAAATCAATGTAGATTTTTTTATTTTTTTTTTGAAAATGTGTCTCGAGGGTTAAAGGGTAGCATGACTGATTAAATGTTAAATTTAAAAGATCAAATTCAAATTGAATGGCTCATGACATATTATATTTATGTTCTCTTTTGCGAGCCACGTACATGTGATATTCATGCAGCTATGCTTCTGGTGGTTGAGATGTGGAAAACTCATAGCCTTAGCATTAAGGTGTGCATACTGGCTTCTTATTTGATTCCCGTCAGCTTTATCTTAATAGAAAGGTTCCATTCTGGTTTTACAATGCCATATTCTATTGTTAAGAAGAATTTCGGAAGAAGATGACCTCTGATTTCAAAAGGTAGCCCTACGAGTAGCCAACGGACAACCTTTCTGGAAGGATCTAGTGAAATCTTTCCTGATCAAGGAACTGGGGGAGAAAGGACATGCCTATGTCAGAGGAATAATCAGCGGTACTTCAAGTACAGCTGGAATATCTAATTCGAGTCTGATATCTGAAATCAGTTACGTACACTGAGCATATACCTTTTATTTTCTTTTCAGTTTTTCAGAAGATAAAAAGTGTGGTGCTGTTTATGTTATCCTTATCAGATTTATGCATTGACTTAGGTCACTTGACATAGCTACTTGTATTTTGTTGACATGCCTTAGTAGTTTATATTCCTAGTTTTTCATCATTTAGTTATATGATAGTACTTGTGCCTAGTTTGCAGGATTATAAAGTCCATATTCTAGGAATATTTTTAAGTTTTGAAAATATGATCAAGGTGTTTCTACTGGACTTGCAGCTTACATACCGCCCTCTATGTAAATTTGCTTGATTGTACAATTTCTAATTAATATTATTGAGTATAATACAAGTGAAGCATGGATTGCATTGAACTATCTGACATTCTGCTCTCATAACAGATAAAAAAACTCATATGATTCCATATATAGAGGATTGCAATATGTTGCTCTTCCTAGCTTCCCCATTTTATTTTCGGGTGGAAATTACCATGCATATATTCACAAGTGACTTGGTAGTATTGTTTATCACAATTATCAAAATGGGTTATCCTAGATTCTAAGATGATTTTCTTTCAAAAAAAAAAAAAAGATTCTAAGATGATTGAAGCTTATGATTTGTTGCTCTCCTTTCGTGTTTGATTCTTCAAGGGCAAGGTCTCAACTATCAAGTCATAAGCATCAAAGTCATTGCTTGTATTTTTACTTAATTCTCTTGATCAATGTTGTTTGTGAAATTTCAAAGGTATTAGAAAACTTATCATAGGTCATTTGGTTCCATATTTATCCTTTTAGAGGCCATCTCACTTCACTGGCTTTGATACAGAAGGACATGTTTTGGCTTCTGCATAGAAAATGTTGATGCTTTAGAACCTACGTAATTTTACTAGAAATATTTCTAATGTTGCAGGCTTGTTTCCTTTTCTTTATCTCTTGTACTGCGGGTGCTTCAAGTTTTAATGTTTGTTTGCATATAAATACTTTCTAGACCATTTTGGTCCCATCTTCTAGTCATTTTTGGCTCCTAACTGTGGTCTACTTTTTACTGCTCTACAACTGTTAATATATCATGGCAACTCAGCGAGCTGAATGTGTATGATGCTTAAGTTTATAATAAACTAAGAGAACACTAATAATAAATCAATATTGAAGGATTTATAGTAATTTAGTGGAATACTACTTCATTAGTTGAGCTTCAAACACATTGTACAATATATATGCTACATGTAAACAACTTTTTATCCAATAATGAAAAACATGTGTGAAGGAATGAAAAAGAAGAAGCTAGTTCCTTCTTGGTTACAAGTTTTGAAAATATAGTAGTATCTACAGGACAAATTTAGAATATTAAGAAATATTACGTAAGCAATGTTATTCTAAACCCATAAAGCTCCTGCCTCCTTAAGCATTGGCACAAGTCTTCCTTGAACCTGCAGGCTAATAATCTCTTTAGCTCCACCAACTAACTTTTGGCCTATGAAAACAGCTGGAACACTTGGTCGAAGCCCTAGTCTTTGAAGCGCTTTATCTACTTCTTTCCCATTGGACATGTTATCCAGTTCATAGACTTCTGCATTTGCTCCATAACTACTAATGAGCTGCATCACTGAGTGGCTTATGCAACAAGAGCTTTTGGTAAAGATTACCAAAGGCTTCTGTTCCACCAATCGGTTTACAACATCCATTGCTTGTAAATTAGCTAGAATTTTTGCAGTTCTAGATTTTGAGAGGATGGAAGGGCTGTATTCAGTATACAAAATACAAAAAAGACTGAGGCAGATGAGGGATGAATGAGGTATTGTGGTCAGGTTTAAAGAATGGATTTCTTGCTTATGCTGTGAGTAAATTAGAACTATCATGCCATCATATTTATAGTCCAACATGCTCAGTGCATGATACCTTTTCTCTGATATTATTCTCAAAAGTTATGGAAGAAATGAGACTATGGGAATCCTTTTATTCTAGATTTTTCTCCTCTCCCTGTTGATGACCATGGTTCTACTAAACACCTATTTTTCTAGAGTTCTACAGAAGCAAATAGATACATTGACATTTTTAAGTAGGAATCTTTATTCTGTTACCGGACTATCAGTGTTTATATTTTTTCTACTGAAGAACTTGAAGGAGCTGCTGATGATAGAAACATCTTGATGATCCTTAGTATAAAATGAGGGTTCTGTGTCTTAATCTTTGCTACAATTTCCTGACCAGAAATCTGGTTGGCTGCAGAATGACCTGATGGGATATAATGTACCATTTTTCACCTATCTGCCAAAAGTATAGGAAACATAGCACGAATGATCTTGGGACACTTTTCGAATTGAACTATGTTGGGTTCATATGGTACTTGGTAAAGGATAAAATGATAAATGATAAATTCTAATGGAAATTAAGTAAATGTATTTGAAGTAGGAACTAATGAATTTAATATCAGTCTATAATGAGTTGATTTTTAATCATCTGTTCATGTATTTTTAGGATAACAAACTTTTAAACAGTTATTCATGGCAGTAAATTTTCTTGGCAAGGAAGTGTTAACAATGCACAATGAAAGCACTGCGTAAGTTCTTCATCCAAATATTTTGTTTCGTCTCTAATGTATTAAAACTGAAGTGCTTACCATTTGTCACATAAGCTAATTAAATGTCACATAAGAGTTGCTGTCATATTGGTCAGGTAAATGACATTTTTTAAAAAAAAAAAATGTCGAAAACATGTCATGATATCATCATATGCAAATTAAGTACAAGGATTAATTGAGTATGCAGTGGGAATAGAATCTCAACTTGGGTCATTCTGGAGAGTGCACAATAGTGCATGAGGTGGGGTGGGGAATGAAAAAAGAGATGCATGGATGATTCTTTCTATCACAAATATGCTTCAGATTAGGTTCTCTTGATATAACATTATTTTCCTTCTTCCTCTTATATTTGATACAAAGTATAAGATATGGCGCTGCTTATGCACAGAAATTGCAGTATAGGTGGTACTTGTCAAAACTGTATTTTGGTATGTAGCATAAATGAGTGATTGAAACTTCTAAAATTTAAATCTCCTGATATTACTGTGATTAAAAATGACAGAATTAAAAATTGTCAACGGATGAATGGGCTGCTACCATTTCTCACCTAGCAATCAACATGCTTCAGTATCTATCAGCATCTATAATGGTAAGCCTGTATACAAGGGTTAAGGATAGCATGACTGTTTTTGTTATCATCAGAAATTCAAAATAAAACTTATCTAAAATAGTTAACTCATTTCAAAGTATAGTGAAACGTTTGCTCTTGCCTATTTGTCTATTTTGTCACAACAGCCATGTACATACGTATTTCATTAAGCTATTCTTTTGCTTTTCGTGACTTTAGCATTGAGGTATGAATATTAGCATCTTTATTGATTCTTGTAAACTTTATCGTAATAGAAAGGTTCCATTTTGGTTTTCTAACACTATGTCTTTTGATAAGCAGAACTCCAAAACAAAATAGCGGCTTATGTCAAAAGGCAGCCCTACGAGAAGCCAATGGCCAATTCTATTGGCAACCTTCCTATAAGGATCTAAGGCAATCTACAGGATTGAGGAGATAAGGACATGCCTGTGTCAGAGGAATAAACTCAACCGTAATATAAGTACAGCTAGAATATCATATTGAGGCATCCTGTTTGTGGTAAGTTACGTGGGCAAGAAGATCCTGGCTCTGACATCTAAAATCAGTTACGTACCTTGAGATTCCACCTTTATTCTTCTTTTCTTTCTGTGTTTTCATATGGAGAAAATTATGATGATTTCTATATTATCTCTAGATCAGTTTCATACAGTGAATGAGGCAACTTGACAAAACTACTATTGTCCCCTTTATATCCCTCAATTATCAATATTAATGGTTTGTCATCACTTACCGTATTTGGTGCCTTTTTTAGAGGATAGACTGATTCTTTAGTACAGTAAAAGTGAAGCATGAACTATATTGAGATATTTACAAGTATGCCCTGAAAAAATAACTGTAACTAATCTTTGGTAATGAGAAAAGTGCTTTACTGTTTTACTTTTCAATTTTTTCTCTTCATGTAAAACACTGGATCTTTTTGATTGATTGAATGAAAAACTGAAAACTATGATATACTTGCAACACTCAAAAAAATCGTTTTCTAGAGTTATATAGAAATTAGCTATTTTTTGTAAGTGGTTACTAGTACTAATGCACAATTGCACACTGAGTTTTAGCAAACAAAGAACTAAAAAATGTAGCTGCAGCATCATTTCTCAATAATTTTCTTTGATGTCCTCATGCTACTGCTAGAAAAATATTTTAACTACAGTGGTTACAATAAACTAAAATTTTTTAGCACTAATCGTCCTAATCCTCTTTGACCTGATACTGTGGAGTGTGGACAATGCAAGCTGCTGGAGTGCATAATTGTATATGGTTGTTTTCAATTTCATCGAAAAGCTTGTTAGGAAAAGTAGTGGAAAACTGCTTACACAACCAGTGAACCAGAGTATTAGTTAGTTTCTCTAGTTACAATTTCATTTTCTTATGATAAATATATAGCAAGTGCTGTTTTACTGTTCTTGCGCTCTATATATGACCTTAAAGCACTCTGTATTGTAAAATACGGTGCTCACAACATAGTAAAATTTGCTGTAGCAGTATGATTCATCATCGAGTAATTTGAAATCAATGAAAGTACAAGGGTTGCCAAAGATCCTCCATTCCATTTTGCTCTACAGGATTTTGTTTGGAACATGTCCCATAACTCAATTTTTATTTTTCAAATTGCATTGCAACCATATTTCATCATCCTTTCAAAGGCTCCTGCATCATGAAATGGGTTCCTCACCAGTAACCAAACACAATTACTTGACAATTAGAAGGAAATGAGGATCTCTCTCTCTTACTCTCTCAATTATTCTGCATAAGTTAGACAGCTTTTTTTTCAACGTCATAGATACATTAACTATGAAATTCAGAAGCATCAGACTGGAGTCAGAATATTTTTCACTCTTTATTCAGAACTTCATAAGGTACAATTTCTCACTTTCCTTGTCTGTTACCTTGCATAGTTGGGGATAAAGGTTATAATTGGTTGGTATCAATGGCTTATTTCTTCTTTTCAACTAACATTTACATTTGTCTTTGGTTAATCCTTTTCCGTCCTTCCCATCTTGCTGCTTATCAATTTTTTATTTTTATTCTCTATTTGTGATAATTACGCTCACTTTTGACAAAGTTAATTTTGAATTGTTTGTTGACAATCCCATCAAAGGATAATGCTGAGTCTCATAGATTAACTTATGCTGCATTCATACATATGTTAATTAAATATAATTACATATTTCATAAGGGCCACTTGTACATTGACATGTGATGCATTCTCTTTTCAAAAACCTTGAATTCTGCAAATATTGCTGAATCAACACGGATTGAGCCTCCTATTCTTGTACACTACAGTCCTCTTCTTTTTTGGGTAAGGAAAAAAGAAAGCTTTATACATCAACATTGAAAGGGAGGTAATTGAACTAGTGAGTTTTGTTCCAAACCCAAATAGCCCCGGCCTCCATAAGCATTGGAACCAACCTGCCTTGGACTTGCAGGCTGATGATTTCCTTAGCTCCACCGATGAACCTTTGGTTTATGAAAACAGCTGGCACACTAGGCTTAAGCCCGAGTTTTTGCAGTGCTTTATCAATTTCATTTCTATTTGGTAATTCATCGAGTTCATAAACTGTTGCATTTGCTCCATAGCTGCTTATTAGCTGCTTCACTGAGTGGCTCATGCAACAGGTACTCTTGCTGAATATTACCACTGGCTTTCCATCTACTAAACGCTTCACTGTTTCCATTTATTTAGCAAGTTAGGATGATGTGTTCTTTCCTGTAGGTTTTTGCTGCGGTTAGCTTTCTTTGTGGATGTAAAGTGAAGATGATTATGAAAAGAGAAGTTTGTATGAAATAGTTAAGATTTGTTACAAGACTTGCTATGTTTGCAATGACAAATTAAGCTGCTGCAACAGCCTATTTATACAGGTTAGTCGATTTATATTCCAGATTGCTTTATCTTGCTACCTTTTTTAAGAATGTACCATGTCAAAAAACTCGATTTAAAGTGAATCTAATTCTATAAATGATTTCCCATTCTATAAAAGATTTCCCTTTGATGTATATGAAAGTAATTTGTGGAGGTCACCCTTTCTTGGTATATAGTACTTCATATATCATTATGTGAACTATGGGAGATGTATGAGCATTGCATGTTTGGTCATATCAAGGAGAAAAAAAAAAAAAAAGTTTACAGATTGTTAATGACAAAAAATTTCATGGAAATTGAAGAGCCCATGACTGGAAACTTTGCTGAATCTGTGAATTCATCAGTTAGTAAACGGCTAAACGCGTTACATGCCTATGAAAGAACTTCTCATGACACAGTTTGTTAACTTGTACATTGCATCAGTACCTTTGAAAGAGTAACTGTCAAGTGTAAAAAAAGAAGTTGATTGTCACTAAATCTTTCACTATAGAAATATATGTGTCAATGTCTGTAGTACTGTACTACTGATTTCACCTAATATCCTACATACAGTGCTGGATGACTGGTGGCTGAAACACAGTTTGGTTACCGGTACTATATGTTGGGCCCGGACACCCGCCTTGACGGGTCGCACGCACACTCCACTCCACCATGTACTTCTTTAATGCCTTTCCTTTAACTCCCAAAAATCACTATCTAAGATATTTTCAAAGACAACTTTTCGCAACTCAAATTCACCTTAGTTTCACTTATTTCAAGAAAAACAAGTTTAAAGTCAAGGATAAAAAGAGTTACGCTGGTTCAGTTTACTATTAAAACAAGTGCTAATAAGTTTCGATAAGTTACAATATTAGATAAGATAAGTTTATATGAGTAAAAATTAGATGAATAGAAGGTATCCTAATCCCATCAAAACAAGATTTTGGTGACATCTAGACTTTTACGTAATTAATCCTAAATAGTTAAGAACATTAAGCAAAATGTTTTTATATGTTTTGGAAAAGATAAATTCACTAAGGGGGTGTTTGGTTTGAATATTGGATATATAGCACAGTGGAAAACAAATTAGAGGAAGGAAAAGAATCATTTAAGTATTTAACACTTACCCTTTTCATTTGTCATGGAAAAGAAACATTATATCTTTAATTGGGGTTGTGATTAACAAAATTTTGCATTGAGGTATTTAAAATGAGTTTAATGAGGTAAAATGGGCATAATTAAGACTAATTAGTTTTGAAATCGTTGGATGTGACCCCAATGTTGGAAACTTTGACGGAATCCGTTAAAAGGTAGTGATACCAAAATAAACATAATCAAAGTAAAAGGTAGTTGTTTACAATGTTTAAAGTAAACTTGTAAAGTTAGTTGTTATCAAAATTTCCTACAGAATGAAATGAGATATAATGAGAAGCTATACGGTTCTACGACTTCTACCTAGGATGTTGATAAAGCAGTTTTACGGTTCAAGTTCAAAAATTGACTGATGAAATCCTTTGGCAAGTTAAGCAGTTACCCTGAGATTTTGGTAGTTAAAGTTGGAAGGTGGACTTAGACAATTAGACTATACAAAGTCAGTAATATTCCATATTTCACTCAATCTAGAAAGAATCTACAAAAGTGACCAAGGTTTTGCTACTTGTGCAAAGAATTTAAGAATATATATCTAGTAGCACAGAATTGCACGCTTTTTGTACAATGTTTAGCATACATCTTTTCCTTCATTCCGAAAAAAAGTTATGCTCATGTATGCAAATGTCAATGCTATCTTTATCTTCCTGAAAAACCGAAACATATGTCATACTTCAAGATGGGAGCTCTAGTAAATCTTTTAACATATAAAATCAGCTAAAGAAGATGAACATATTTAGTAGTCTGTTAGAAGTGAACTTTAGAATCAGATTCTAGTTTTTTCCCTTTAATAAGTATTATGTACTGATAAGGCCTTTCATGTTTTGTCAGAAATCAGCAGCAGGATGTACTGAGACTGAACACTAGCGCGATGCTAAGTACTTTTCATTATCTTCAAGTCTACAAGATTTGGGTTTGTACAATGCACCCCTCTATTATATATGCAGCTTAAATGTGATTGAGGTAGACTTTATCTGAAATGAAATGTCAAGGATCCGACATAGGCACTTGAAGTGTAATAGAAATTCCGAGTAACTTAAGGTGCATTCATCTAAAAGATGAAGCTGAATGCGTTTGAGGTTGACCGGTGATCACATCTAAAAGCAAAACAGGTGAATAAAGCAAAAGAGGAATCAAGGCCATGCTGCAAGCACATGAAGGAATTTGAGGCAGAATAAATACAAGTAGCTCTATGTTTAGTGAAGGGCCACTTAATTCGAAGGGTAACTCGACTGCAGATTGAAGATGGTGATACATGTTATGAACTTTTTTTTACTGCTTTTGTCGAAAATGGGAACTGACAGGAAGATGACATAACATACAGAGGAATAAATGCTGACTTGAGATAGTTGTACATTGTCAGTACGGAAAGGAATGTCAACTATACCAAATTCAAGATGGGTCTGGACTCTGAAGGCTTTCAGCCTGTAGCATTTTTCCCCACACTGTGAAAATTCGATATCTTGACTCTTCTATTACTAGATTCCTGCAATGTCTTATCAAGACTATAAGAGACGGGATTACAATAACTTATTATGATGATAAGCGTACCTGCACAAAAGAATTTAACAGAACGGTGTCTTGATTCTTGAGATAGTTGTGACTTGTACCAAATGGAATGCCAACTTTAGCAAATGGGTGTGGAAATTTGAGCAACCTTGACACCTAGTTGCTAGCTTCGCGAAAACTCTGTCGAATTTGGTATCTTGGCCATCATTCTATTTCATTTCTGGTGATGCAATTCTTGGAGATTTTTAACTCCCTTGCAGGAAAAAAACCATTGTAACGCAGGAATATAATACTACCTCCGTTTTTTTTTTTTTTTTTTTTTTTTTACAGTTGACACATTTGACTTTTGAAAGTATGCGTTGGCAAGCGTGAAATGTGTCAATTAATAAGAAAAATAGAGGAAGTAATAATCATATTATGAGTATACAAAGATCATGTCATAATTGACTATGTATGCCATTCAAATTTAACAAATTTTTTTTTTACATGTGATCTATTTCACGTCTTAAATTGCTCTACATTATTTAAATAAACAAGAATACAGTGATCTATTTTCATGTCTTAAAGTTTTACTAGAAACTATTAAATACAGTAACGCCAATATATTAAACATATTTAGGATTTTGATTATGGGATGTCAACATTTTAACGCCAATATATTAAACATATTTACAGAAAATGATAAAAGGAGTATGATGGTTCAATGGGGCGTTGAAAGACCAGTAGAATCATATTATATATCATCAAGTGCTTTATGAGATTTCCTCAAAAAAAAAAAAAAAAAAAAAGTCCCTTTTAAGGTTTAGGACAACATTTATGACTTTTCCGCCATTGATAAGCTTTAATTTGAAGTCATCATCGACAAATAAAAGGGAGTGATTTTCCATAATATTGTTCAAACAAAATTAAATTTCCCTTGTACACGGGTTTTATAACAAATTCTCAATGTACACTCCAAGTAGGATTTTATTTATTTATTTTTTTTGAAACGATTTATTTATTTATTATTATTTTTTTAATTAATTTTTTTTTTTTATGTATACTTCAAAATGCATACTTGGGTGCCAAAGTGGCCTTTATTTTAGGCCTTAAATTCTCAAAGGGTTCTCAAGCCCAATAAGCCAAATCTAATATATATATATATATAAAGGGGAGTTTTTTCCCGAGTTTTTAGAGAGCCACTTAGAATTTAATTTTCTTAGAGCGCCACATAGTATTATAAATTTTTGTTGTAGCCAATCAAATAAGATATTATTATATTTCTTTTATAATTAAATAATTCAAATGCCACGTAAGCAAAATTGGCGAATACAATTTTTAAGTTTAAACTAATTAAATATTATATATTATCTTTTGATATTAGGAATTTTATCTAAATATATAACAAATTTTAGCATATTAATACAAAAAAAATTTTAAAAAAAAAAATCAAACAAACCGTGCATCGCACGGGCTTCATCTAGTATGTAATATTTGGAGCCTAAGTCAAGATCAGCCCTGGCATGTCAAGCCACTGTAAGGGCCCATGCCACATATCATAGCCCTGCGTGATTTTGCAAATTTTTGGTTGAGGTCGCGCTCAGCCATCGAGGTCGAAAAAAATGAACATTTACAAGAAAAAAATAATGAACACCTAGTTCTGAACATTGCATTATATAAAAATAAACATTTATAACATAAGAGTAAAATAAATAGACTATGAAACTGTAAAAAAAAAAAAAAAAAAAAAAAAAAAACAAATTGTACATTTAATATTATATAACTGAACATTTTTTTTTAACCAAAACATTATATTACGTTATGGAAGAAACCATAGGAGTGCAAGTATTGACCCAAAAAAGTATGTCATGTTGCTAGTGAAGTAGAATTAGCAAACATGAAGACCACCTGAAGGAACCAAAATAAAGCAAACAAGCTAATTAAGCTAGGAGTAAACAAAGGAAAGTACTGGAATTAAATAAAACTAGTGCTTAAAGGGGGGGGGGGGTGCTAGGTGAGACTCATGAAGAATAAGCATCATCATCATCAGTTTGCAGCAGCGTTGCCATGGATAATGGCAAGGGTGTGAGTGTAAACACGAGTTAGACGTGGAGGAGAGAGAAGAAGTGAAAGGCAGGTTCAGCATCCTCTTGCATTCGACCAATATTGGAAAGGCCATGAACGAACTGAACAAATAAAAATGAACAAAATGCGTTCATTGACCATCCTTTATTAAAAAGAATGAACATTTATATAATTGAACAAATACAAAACTTTTATTAATTAAAAAATAAAATGAACATTTATTTTTATAAGAATGAACATCATAAGGCATGAAAATGAACATTTATTCTATAAGAATGAACATTATACTGCATGAAAATGAACATTTAATTATTGAGAAATACAAAATTATTGTAAAATATGTTCAGTATGAAAATGTTTATTTTTATTAGACTAAATGTTCAATTTTGGCGTCAACCTTAGCTAGTGTTGGCTGAGGTCGACCTCAGCCATTAACTATTGGCATTATTTAGTTATTTAAATCTATTAACTATTACTAAAATAGAAGATGATGACGTCACAATTGCATATATTTTTACTTTAATTAGCTTCCCCTTAGGTAATTATTGTGGGTTAGAGTTTATAATAAAAAAAACTATCTTCTTCTGTCCTATAATTGATTTAATTTGTTGTTATGAAATCGTATAGGATCATTAGACCATCTCTCCGAAAAAGGTTGTATATTCTAGTAAAATGTGCAAGAGATATATTACAGTGCAAGATATATAAGTATTCAACAAACAATTGTGGCTTCAATGATGAAAACTTTTGTTTGATTTGTTTTTATGTATTTGTTAAATAAATTTAAGTTTCTTTTGTAAATGCATGCTTTTTATTATTATTATTATTCTTTTTTTTTTTGACACAATACTTTTTATTAATAAATTACTAGTAGTTATTTTCTTGTAAAAAGAAAGCATATAAATTAAACAAACATATGAACGAGTTATTCGCGATACTAAAAATAAGTTTTATTGACCTACACTATGCTCGTTGATAAAATGAACTTGAAATTTATTTTTGACCCCGTTTGTTTATTAACGAATTGAACAAGCTTTGATCGAGCTTGTTCACAAGCTGGTGGCACTTTGTACACTAAAGTCTTCCGCTGTTTTAAATTTTAAACTCACATTCACCTCCGCAAGATGCGCACTACGTAGGATCCTTATAGATGCTACAATCACAAAGGTAATTATGTTGAGAAATGCGCAATCATCCGCAATAATAGTGCAAAATGCATGCAGCAATTATATATATGATTAAGTAGTAACTAATATAGCATAATAGGTACATATATATAATTATATATATGCAATTGGATAGAACTTAGAAGCTACACCCAATTATATGTAATTACATACTGTCTTAACTAATATCGGTTTTAAAGACAACCACTAATAATATAGTTACCGATCCCCATTCCAAACCCAAATGGCTCGAGCATCAATCAACTTTTGGGCTAGTTCACCACGAACTTGCAGGCCAATAACGTCGTTTGCACCACCAATAAAGTTCCCACCAATGAAGATGGCCGGAACACTTGGTACGTGCCCCATCGTTCCTAGGGAATTTTCAACTTCTTGTCCATTCGATAACTCGTTTAGCTCGTACACTATGGGGTTTGCACCATAGCTTATAAATAAATGCTTCATAGAATGGCTCACTGGATCTGTACTATTCTTGCTGAATACTACCACCGGCTTTTCATCCACTAACGGCCTTAAGGTGTCCATAACGATCACAATGATCGGATTATGTCAAAGACTTGGATTCTCCTCGATCTATCTCTTTCTTTGTTTGAAGTGTTAGTGATATTAATTTGGATTAGGGCACATTGCATATATATGTGCATATATAGGGAGTCCAATGAAAAAGGGTTGTTATAATATCATTGTCAAAGTCACAGTAAAAATTTAGAGGGATGCTATTCTCGAAATTGTGAAGCTAGGCAAAAGGAGCTTTTTAATGATTCTTATAATTATGCCTTTGACAATTAGATTAACAAGTCTTGTCTTAAGATTTATCTCCTTAAGTCATGTTCTTTTGAGCTGTTGTGATCTGTTCTGTTGAAATTTACTCTATTGCATCTTGCTCGCTTAGAATTCTGTTTTACTTTACTGACTCTTGCTCTGCTATGCTAAATATACTTAGAAGCTCAAAAGATCAATATTTTACTCCACTACTATTACCATAGCAAAAAAGACACGCATTATACTTATTATGGTACTCCCTTCGATCCATTGAATTGTATTGCCTCACAAAAGTTGATCAAGTGGGATCAATTTAAGTGGGACGGAGGGGTACATGTAATGCCATATCAAACATGTTACACATTGATACAACTAGTAGTTTGTAGTATCGATTTGACATTTTGTCTCTAGGTTGTTGGTTTAAGGATTTTTATTAACAACCTAGCTTTTGTTTGATGCCATTTTTGGATGATCATGATAAAGACCTCTGACATTTACGTAATGAATTACTCCGCTCCCACAATTTCAGAGAGATGATTAAAACCTTGAATAATGATTTGAGGTTCAGATGCATGTAACCTTATCTTCAACCACTTTATATAACTATAACATAGTTCTATCGTAATCCTTAATTAGTTACTAACATTTATTATTTATGATAATTTTTAGTTAGTAACTTCAATCTTTTAAATAAAAAATCAAGTGAACTGAATATAACCTATAAAAAACTCTATTACAACTTGTAAATGGCTTTACAAAATGTGAAGGGTCCACACTCAAAGAAGACAAGTAACTCCTTTTACAATTGAAGAAACAAAGCATATATGGATAACAAAATATACTAGTAAATATGAATGCATTGTTTCTGCGATGCGAATTAAAGAGGTTTGGTTGGATATCATATTACATAGTCTACTTCGCGTGTCTTATGTTTGCCAAAGTTATGTTAGTACAATCCACCACATATCTATGTGTACATGACTTTCTTTTCGATTCCTAATTAAACTTCAATATTACCTCAAATACTCCATCTGTCCTCATAGATCTTACCACTATCTTACTCTCCTTCTCTTTCTTTCTTATCTCATGTGATGTGAGATCCTCCACTAACTCTTTCTCCTTCAACTGAATATTTTAATATTTAGATGATTGCTTCTTTCAATATAATAATAGCAAAAATTTTGATTTACTACTTCACCCTAATTACATAATGGTTATATGTGTATGAAACTAGATTAAATTGGGTTCATTCAATTATTTTAACATGATCTAGAAATGGCAAGGATAAACGTTGTGTATGGTGTAAGAAGACTTTGGACAGTTATACATAAACAGTCATTGTACTGCACTCTGATATACTTGTATGAGCCAAAATGCAGATACTATCAGGAATCATAAACAATCAAGAGAAACAAAATGTGCAGGCAAATCAAATCAGTTCCGAAAAAGATCAGGCTGAATCGTTGCTAAAACTGTAATCAGATATATCAAATTAGTTCATGATGTAGATCATAAAAAGAATGCATATAGCGAAGTAATAGAAGAAGAGGAATGCATGTAGAGAGAGGTTGAGTCATATAATGCAAGGTCTGCTTACAATTTTATGAGTGTTAGTGGCTAAGGAGCGTAATTGGTTGTGCAATTAGGGCATCTACACTCACCTCCTATGCAAAGGCAATGCTAGCATATGTTGGTGCACCATTCTACACCCTCGGTACATTAGTTATTGCCCGTTGTATTATAAAGTTATTCAAGAAAGATTGTGGGGATGACCTTTAAGAAGGATTCAAAATATAGCGTGACAATCTTTAAGGAATAGAGGGGATACTTAGGTGACATCGAGATAATAGTGTACCATATAAGCAAACAATGTGAGTGACATTTTTTCATCTTCTGCAAATTGTTTATGTAATAAAAATAACCAGCCTATCTGTTACACAAGAACAAAATGTATTTCATACATTATAAACCCTTGTGCCTATTGAAAAATTGACACATTGGTAAATTCTAGCTGCTGAATACTTTACAGCGAACAATGGTCAATGTTGCTAACAACCACTGCAGAACCCGGCCATATAAGAAACTCAAACTAGAATTTTACAAACAAAAGCCAATCTGAATGCTTGTATAATAGCAGTGTTTTAATGTCTGCTACAAATTGAGGTGGGCAAATGAATCAGTTATCTGATGTCGACTCCTCCTGAGGAATTTGCTTTTGCGTTACACGAGTGTTGTATGAATTGCAATGACTGCACTTGTGCCCAAATATGTGGAATTTCACTATGCTTGTTACACTGCAATCATTGCAGAGGATTGATACCTGCCAAAATTTCTTCCTGTATCAATATCTTGTTCACTTAAATGTAAAAAAAAGTAGCAGTATTCTCTACATCTAGAAATAATAATTACATATACCAATTTTGGTGTTCAGAAAAATTCCTCAGTTCTTAAAATAGTAATAGCATGTGGTAGATTTATTCAAAATATTCTTTGTGAGATTGGGAGTTCAAGAATGTCAGATTAATCCAACAATTTTAGTCTTTTACAAAAAGGGTCGATTATTAATGTGGCAGCAAATGGTTTATGATATTACTATTGCTACTGATCCAAAACGATTAATAGCAATATCATATGGAAAAATAATATTCAACTACACATGTCAGGAACCTGAGAGAAAAGATTCAAGTTCACAGTTTTTTGAAATGTGCCAAGTTCATAGTCATATTCAAAACATTCAACTAGAGTAATTTTGGTCATTCTATAATATAGCATTTCTGCAGATTCAACTATGACAATGAGAATATAAAAGCCTTCATTTAACAAAGTTGCCAATGAAGAGCATGTTTAACAGTTTACAAAAATATGGGTAACAGGTGAAGTCCCTGCTATGGTACTTGGTTTGTTGATTCACCTCAAGAGTACCTATGTCAGATACATGACACTATGACATGTTTATGAGCAGTTGTTACTTCATTTTGAATTCATAGGTCTATAACAACGAAACCTTTCATAAAGTCGTCAAATCTAATACTTGAGATTAAATACCCGAATCCAAACCAATTACCCTAGTCTGAGGAAGTGAGGAGCATAGAAGTCCATATGCAATTAGAAAATCACTCGTGTGAATTTTATGATAATTATTATTTTACCTATCCATTTCCTCCTAACTGACCATTTAGTATTTGTTGCTGGGTACATATTTTATATTTAAAAACTTCTCATTTCTCAAGAATTCAACCTCAAAGATTACTGTAGGAAGATTGGTAGAATAAACAAGACTAAAATCTCAAGGAAATCTCACAAGTGATCTACCTGCCTAGAGTTTTATCCTTAACACTAGTCCTCTATAGGTATAGCAGAAACGTCCCTGTAGTAGAGCTATTCACTAGCACCTTCAAGATAGATTACAAATGCAGATTCAGAGTAGTGAGCCATGGAGCATATACCATCAACACTGGCTCCACGCCTCAGCCTCACTAAAGTTGAATATTATAGAATTATAGTGGACGGCTTGGATTAACCTTCCTCTGGTCGTTAGTCTAGTTGCCTTTGAGATAGAGGGCTTGAAGGGTCGAAAAGTTCAAGAGAAACAATCACAACAAAAGTACAAAACCAGAATAAGTCGTACCTCATAACGATACTCATCAGGCATGATAGTAGCTTCAATCTGCAATCCACATAAAATATTTAGTAAACCAAGTTAAAATATCCATCTCAGAAAGAGAAATTGACATTAACTCAACTATATCTCTCAGAACATGTAGCCTCCCAGATAAGAAAGTACATAAAGAACACAAGCTTCTAAGAGTCACCTAGAAAATCCATCATGAATTTCATGGTGACCACTGCATATTGGTCAGGTTGAAGCTGAAAATTAATGCTACAACAAGAGAACAGACAAGTACAGCAGCTGCTGATGCAGGCCTACAGGAACTAACCACCATCAAAGCACCAGTACAAGATAAAAAGATAATGACAACAAAATGCATATAGTAAGAATCCAGCTATGAGAACCAAAGTGGACATATATACCTTTCCTCTAATTTGGATGTTTTTTTTTTTTTTTTTTTTTTTTGATGAGATCTATTTGGATACATTGGTAGAGAAGTTGTTTATGAAGAACCAGCCAACAAACCCAAATAAAAAAAATAAAAAAAATAAAAAAAAAAAAAAAAAGGAAAGAAAGAAAGATTGAGAAGTGCAATTTGTTTTGTGAAGAATGATTCAGGGATAGTTGGTAACTTGGTAATTCACCAGTAAAATTACTTGTCATGCGGTGATCAATTGACCAAAATCTTGAGATAAATCATGATGAACACGTCTTACATTACTAGTCATTTCAAGATACCACTAGATTAATATAGTAGCGTAATATATTGTTTTACAAGCCATGTTTTCAAGAAATAAAAGATTGAAGGGAAATTAACCATCCTCAAAACCATACACCACAATCCACATCATATGATAGTTTTTTACAATCAAGCAACCGATAATCTCAAGCCCCATTTATATGGGCATTATCAGTAAATATGGAATTTTCAGACCCAATCTGCTAGTATTTTAACAGATTCACACATAAGGACATCAACAATCAACAATTAGCAGTGCAGTTAGCATTAGCAATCAGCAGATTGCATTAGCCAGAACAAATAATGAGTTTAAAGGGGAAAAGTTAGCAGGCAAGAAGTTGCCAATTTCAACAAGCAAACCAATAAACAGATGCCATGTTTTTATTGGGAGAGATTAGAATGAAAGAGTATGGCCTCTTTATTGTGTCTAATATTTACTAGCTGGAAAAAGTATGGTGTCTTAGCAAGAATAATGTTCTTCAAAAACACAAATTGAAGGTCCACCTGACACAAGTTTACATAAGTGCACCTCTTTTCTGTTCACAGCTTAATAGAGTGATAAAACAAGTAGTGCATACAGAAAAACAGTCAAAAACCTCTTCGTAATCAAAATATCAAATAAAGAGAATAAGTTTGGGGGGGGGGGAAGGGGAAGGGAGTGAGGGAACTACTCACAGCTAAAGACACTCTTTAAACACATAGTAATCTTATGTCACTACCATTATCTATCCGCCAATGTCCCTTTTACATTACTTATCTCTGAAATTGTATACTTACAAATCTGATATTTTTACTAACAAGCACAATAATAAAGGATCAATATTCTGTGTTTCTTATACCGTATTCTGGCTTCACTTCAAATACCAATACAGTTCATGCATATGCTTTCAGTAGATAGATATGTATGCTCATTAATTTGAACAACAACTAAATCAAGTTAACAAAATTTCAAATTTCCAAGGAAGAAAATGAAATTTGAAATTTAAACAAACAAATTAACTTGTCACCTCTTCATCCAATTTTTCCCAGTTTCTTGTCATGTCCATACTTGACTTGGAGCATAAGGGGCATCGATACCTGATCCATGAAGGAATACTATCATCAAAATACAGAAAACAATACATATAATCAAAATGAAGGAATGCAAAAGACAGAAAACAATTTCAAACCAACCAATGTGTAATGATCTCATCATTTTCGACCACAAAAAAAGAATTAAATAATAGACAGGAAGAAAAAGAGGTAAGTGAGGGCAGATCAAGTCTCTGCTCCACCCACTTTATAAAAATGATTTCGTCTACCTTTAGACAGCACTTCATATTAGCTTTCTTTGGTTTTAAACGAAAACTCATGAACATTTGAATAGAGGTTCAGAAGTGTTAGAATATGCCTTCAATTTATTTGCCTCAATACAATCATATGAACAACATTATCCATTACGTTGGGCTAAGTTTCACAAACAGATAGTCATAGTTCACAAAAGCCAATACAGAAGTGAATGAATGACCATGACATTCATTTGATATTACAAGAAAGCTGCAGTTATTTTCAGAATAATGAATATGGGAATATATGGCATATTTTATGATCTCTGATTAATATTTCTGGACTCGACACAATTGATAATACTCTTCCCACTAACACAGGGCATCTCACTTCAACAGTGAAAGACCATGGTCAATCTTTCAAGTAACAAAGAAAAAGTTTGTGTCAAGGTATATGAAATCTAATGAGCTTGAATTTTGGGCTTTTGGCAAGAAAACTTTACAATATAGATAAGTTTCTTACTACTTAGTACAGAAATATTCATCAGAGCAAGGCGATGGTGGAGAAGCACTTAGAAGTCTTTCCTGGAAACATGCTAATAGCTTATGATAAAAGAGCAAAGTAACAACCCTGCTGAACTAATTGTAATCAGATCAATCTAGTAGCCTTTGCTTATTTTCTTTGTAGTTTGTACTCCTCAATTCTACTCTTCTAGATCCACTTAGAACAATTACTGCAGCGATGTCTCAAATCAATATCATGAAAAATTAAATTTACCAAATTTTGACAAACTCCATTCAGAAGAGGAGGGTGGGATGATATTCTGACATTGGGAAAAGGAAAAAAATTTAGCAAAAGACATGGGCATATAGAAGATGCAACGGGCTTACTGCTGCTGATTCAACATCTCTTCATAACAACCCATGTGTATTGTATGTCCACATCTCATAACTTGTGTGACTTTGGTCGAGTCAAAAAGGTACTGTCAACACAATGCAACATGATCAGGACAACACAGCAAATACTTGTGTTTCTTGTCTATACATATTTAACAACTGGGAATCAAACCTCATAGCAGATAGGGCAAGAATTCTTCATAGAGTCTTCCACACAGTCGTGGTTGTCACGCAGACTCACAGCATAGCAAGAACCTGCACTTACAGTAAAAATAAAAAATAAAAAAATGAAGGAATAAATCTCTCACCTTGCCAAACCAATTGAAATGGCACCAATGCAAATAACCCAAATTAGTACCAACATTTCACCCATGTCACTCTTCTATAACCATGATCAGTCATCTCAACAAGCAATTACATTTGAAACGTATATGACAAGTAATTGGCTACCACAAATTTACAATATAGTGATAGAAAAAATTAGAAAACAAAAGTTAGGGGTAGGGAGTTAATTACAAAGCAAGCCATGGAAGAGACTCAAGAGAGATGCGGACAAGAAAAAGAATGCCTTGCATGCAAGAAATATGGTGTTAAAATTCTGATTACTTAAAGATTGAATTACGAATATTGTGAGAAATAGCAGCTGTAGAATATATGCAAGTGAAAGAAAACTAATGGACCGCTATTAAAATCTCAGAAGTATAGCAACTGATGGGGACCTTGAATATTAGGAAAACTGAGAAGAGATAACCAGTACACTTGTTCAAAAACAAAATTGTAACACACTGAAATTGAACTCACAGGAACAAAATAAAATCTCATGATCAAAAAAATTTACATGCAAGCTTCACTAAAGGCTTAAGAAAGACATTTAACTTAGTAAAAAATACTTTGGGGAAGGCAACTTAAGAAATATACAAATCGCAACAAACACAAACAAATGGATCTACGTGTCCCCTCACTACCATACCAGGGTAATGGTCACATAATCCCTAAAGCTACACTTGATTGCTTTACCTCCCTCTCCAAGACACTAAACCCCCAAGTACTATTTGGCATTAAGAGGCCAGTGGAGCCCTACTGTGAGTTAGATGGGAAAGAAAAGAAGAACTATAAGAAAGCATAAATTAATTAGGAACAAATCCAAGCCATATGAATCTGAGAATCTCTAATGCAACTAAAGTTTGACTAGAAAAGTCATAAAATAAGCTTATGGATCACAAGAGTAGCCAGTAAAGGACACAACGCGCTAGCTTAACACTAAATAAGGAAAATCTCTATAACTAAACCTCACTTGATTATACAAAATTCTCTCTCTTACAGAATTATATGAGTAACCATTAATGACTGGTGAGAGATAACATTTAAGGCGTAGGCCTAATTTACATATGACAACTCATAGTCAATCACCAAGGTTAGAATTATTACTTTAAAGTGGGCACAATAATGAAAACTAGGTCATGGCCAATTCTCAAAACTACACTACTTTACCTGCAAAAGATTTTGAATGATCAGCCTTTAGTGGTAAGGGAAAAAACAAAGAAACAGCATTAACTGATTATCCAAGTGTCATCATCAGGCTTTAAAATCATCACATCGGTTAAAATTTTTTGGAAGTGTGTCCTGAAAACAATGTGCATTACTCTAAATGAATCTTTATAGGATCAAATACAAATGACAATTAATCAGTTATATAAAGTAATCAACACGTTGAGCTAGGAGCCACTATCAATTAGCCAGTTTAGTGTAAATGGGCTTGCAACTTAATAATTCCTCCTTATTTTTAAGTGCACCATTTTCCTCTTTAGAAAGTTGCACTATTTCTATTTCAGATATGCTCACAGCCTCACATACACTTTTTGTTTGTGTTCACATACCAAAATACTCATCTTACCCTTACGTTTGATAATTACCCTTGTTACGTCACTTTACTCTCTTTCCTTTGTTTCTAATCACTTGGGAATTTTGGTCATTTAATTCCTTTCTTAATCTTTGTGTCCAACCCAAATGGTGCAATTAAAGAAAAACGAAGTATGAAGTAACGTTATAGGGTCACACACATAAGCATGGGTCGAATCAAACCACGAACATGGGGCGAGCTCAAAACGAGGTTGACTGGTAAATCACCTCAAGCCGCATAGCCCAAGTTGGGAATGTAGCTTCATGGTGGCCGGCTAAACAAGGAAGATAAGGAAAGAAAGACTTTCCTAAATTAATGCATTTTAGTGTAGAAATAAAATAAGTTAATATATAATTGTAATTTTTATTTTAAATTTAATGAAGAATAGAAAGAGAGAAGAAAACTCTTCCTACTAGTAGATCTAAGTTGTCATCTCTTGTCACGGTTTGATCATTTGTGTGCCCACCAATAATGGAGCTTTAATTGAGACTCATATGTTACCCAATAGAATTGTCTAAGGAAGCATGCTACAAGCAGTATATTAATGTTTATGATAGATTCATAAATATATGAGTATAGATCTTCTTAACTAATTCAGCCCACACGACACATTCTTCCTAAACTATATATAAAAAAACACTTTGAACATGAACAACCAGTGCACCACCACATTGATTGTCTGGTACATGGACAAACAAAAGGCAAAAGCCAAAGCACTCAACCATTGAAGTGAACAACCAGTGCTTGTTTTCTTTGTGATTATCAATAAAGCTTAATATATAACTTAAAAGTTTGTGAATAATGCTTGGAACCATCAACTAAGAAAACTAGATGGAGTGGGTCCATACCAAATAAGCAAGTATTGCAATTATTATGAAACAAACGTAAAGAGAATTGTTGTGATTATTACAAAATGGAGGGAGTATTAGTTAAGTTAATACTTATTAGAACACAAGCATCATATCTCCAAAGCTTCTATGGAGTATGTGTGCTCCCCAACATGCTTCATGACCAATCAGTAAGGTTTTTTTTTTTTTTTTTTGAAAGAACCAATCAGTAAGTTAAGGGCCCTAAAACCAGCTTAAAGCATCGGGAGTGGTATAATTTTGCACTAAAAATAAAGAAGATTACAAATAAGAAAAATAGCAGGGTGAACATGAAGTAAACAAGGAAAAGTATAAATGCACTCAGCACACAAGCAATAATATAGTAAGACACTAAATGTCAGAATTTACCAAAAATGGCTATTAAGGCATACCACACTTTGGACAGTGAAAGAAGTTCTCACGACCACCAACCCTGAAATTAGAATGAGCATTGCAGTTGACAATAACAATCAAAAATTAAAAACAGCACGGAAAAAAAAAAAAAAAAAAAAAAAAAAAAAAAAAAAAAAAAAACCCAAATTGAGCTAGCTAACAATGCTGACCTACAAATTCCACACTCGGTGCAATGAAATTGTTTTTTCTCAATCTGTAAAAAGATAAATCAATCATTGAAAGCCAATGCAAAGACAATGTAGATAACTACTTTACAGCTTTTGCCATAAATTAACAAAAAGAAAAAGATGAGGAAGAGGGTGAAAAGCAATTAGTTCATACCTCATCGTCATAGAAGTTGCACACATCACAAAAATACTCACCCATGTTAACCCCGCAATTACAGCAGATCTTTGCTACCTGTACACCAAGATACAGCATAAAACAAACAATATGTATGTTCTTTCTGGTTTTTACCAATACGATAGAAATGAAAAACTAATAATCGAATTCATAAAACTATGGAATAATTACCTTCTTACCTATTGTCAATCTAAAACTACTTCGGTTTTTCTTTAATTGACACGTTTTGATTTTAGCACTATTCACACACTTCCCTTTGACCGTGTTTGGTGATTTATACGTAATGAAAAATATAGTCATGTGGGATTTGTAAGATTTGTTACGATATATATTTTTAAAGCTCCATATCAACTTTTTATAATTTTATTTTTTGGTAATTAAAGATATTAATGGTTGAATTTGTGCATTAGCAAATGAGACTAAAAAACGAGTCAACTAAAAAGAAACGGAGGAAGTATACTTCTTCTGTTCCCCTAATATTGCAATCATTACTAATTTACTATTTAAAGATGTATCACGAATATTGCAACATTTCCTTTTTTTTGTACATCCTTTATCTCTATCTCCCAACTCATCACAGTCGGCTATGTCTTTATTTCTCTCTATCACCCTCCTCATCTAATAACACACCAATTAATACAAACCCCGACTCAAAATCGTTACAAATCATATTGCTTTCTTCCATTAGTATCCAAATCATAATTACAAATTGGGATAATTTTTGTTTTGCCTACAAAAGCTGCTCAATTCTAGTTAAACCTTCCTTTTAAATATAAAAAAATTACTCAAAAGAGAATAAAAAACTAACCGGTTGTTCAAATTCACAAACTGCACAAACAACCTGCAATCAAACCCCAAATAATCAAACCCTCAATCCAAAAACAAAAACTTTAGAAATTACAAGAAAAAAAAAGGTGGGAAATTTTACTTGCTTAATATCACGTCGATTAATCTCATGATGCTCCTTAACATTGCTCAAAGAGTTCTAATTTCAATCAACAAAATCCCAAATCATCAATTAATCCAAAATCGAAAAACAAATATAAATAATCAAAAACGAGGATTTGTTGAAACTTACTATAGCTTCGTTTTGACAATGACGACAAGTGAAAATACGATTGCAACAAGGTGCTCGAATTCGGCATCGTCTCCTGTAATGCTCGCAACTGCAAATAAATTCGAAAAATTAAAAAGAAAAATAAAAAATAATTGAAGTGATTTTGCAGAAGAGTTGAAAATTGTAGGTGGAAATTACCCGAATTCAAGCTTTCCAAAATCTAGGGGATTTTCTGGAACAGGGGTATCTTGGGGATTTCCGGGAACAGGGGTGTCTTGGGGGTTTTCGGGAATGGAGTTTTGTTCCGCCATTGATGAAGGTTAGAGGTTTTGGTTGACTGGGTTGAGTTAGCAGTAGTTAAAATAAGGTTGGATTTAATTTTTTGAAGGTTGCACCAATTTAACAGACGGTGTTGAATTAGGATTTGCCCATTTGCGGAATGAACCAGCAAAATTGATCTGTACTGGTCCCAATAGGGGTTTGACTGGGTGAGCATGACTTGGGTTCCCGAAAACAGTAAAAATTTTGATTAGGTATTCCTTATTTGACAATTAACAACGGAGTTATATTGAGGCCCTATGTGATTCTAGACCCGGCAATCGGATCTTTCAGGTCGGTATGGGTCGGATCATTTCAGGCTAAGGGAAGTTCGGGTCAGCATGTAATCAAATTGGGTTTTGGTCAAGTCACTTGGCATGTAGGTTATGTAGGAAAAATATGTAATACACAAGGTTCCTTGACTTATGCATTGGATAGGGTAGAATTAGGGTTTTTTTTTAATTTGCTTTTTTTTTATTTGACAAGAAATTAGGGTTTTATTTTTTTAATAATAAGGTAGTTGAATATATTGGTGGTTCATTGGAATGTTCATATAGACATTTTAATTGCGTAATCCTTCATATAGTATCAAGACTTTCATCAATCAATTTTTTGAGCATTTCTCAATCTCTAATAATTAGAGTCATAAATATAATTATTAGAGGCAGATAATTTCTCCAATCTTTAAAAACCAGTGCTTCAATTCATTTACTAGTAGTCTAGTACAACCTCAGAAAAATTAAGTGAATAAGTGATCATGAAGAGTAAGAGCAACTTGCAAAGTTGATCATACATATCATAAAATTACTATTGTGGCCAAGCATTACCAAAAGCTCATATACAAATAACACAAGCTTTTGAGCTTTGATGATATACGATAAGTATCATACATCAAAAGTTACATACGTACAATCCTTACCGATTTCCCACATTACTAACATACTAAAACCATATAGCTTTTGCTTCAATGAGCATATCCCTAAGTGAGCCATCAAGGTGAGCACCTAGCACATCCTTAGCGGACCCAACGTAGGTGCCACCAATGAACACAGCCGGAAAAGTAGGGTTGCACCCTAGCTTTTGTAGCGCGGACTCCATCTCCTTACCTCTTGGCTCCCTATCTAATTCATAGACGGCAGGGCTTGCACCAAGATCATAGAATAGTGTCTTAATACTATGACACATACAACATGAACTTTTGGTGAATATCACTGCAGCCTTTGTCCTTGCTAATTCACTCACTCTATCCATTGATGTATGTATGACTCTTAATTAATTTTCTTGTGTATTATAGAAAGAAACTAGAATAAAATCAATATATGTGTTTTTTTTCCCCTTAAATACTTAGCTTGTTGACTATTTTTGCTTTGTAGTTGACATGAATTTATAAGGGTTGAAAAAGGTCATATGCATGTTGATGATAGCAAAGGATGATTCAAGATAAGGTATAGAATTGCTTTATTTGGTTGATTATGACCCCAGCCCTTTGACATACGTACATGAGCATCTTGGATACGATATTTGTTCTGCCTTTTTAGGTCACTTTGTGTTTAAAGACCGTAATATAGAAGGTTTATTGTTAAAAACATAATAATGCGCGCAATATATTGAGTATATCAGTTATCGAAGTTAAATTTATAGTTTATGTTCAATTTTAGACTACGCATATATAGTAACACAAATTCTTATATGTGGTTGGCTATACGGTGCGTCAATTCATCGTGAGGGTTATTCTGTCAGTGTTATATTATAAAGGTTACTCGTTTAGTGTTACAGGGGTTACTTCACCAGTGTTATTGGGATTACTCAGGAGTTAATTGATCAGTATTATAGGGGGGTTACTCAGTAAGTATTATAGGGGTTACTTTATTTTTTTTACAAGTGGCCACATGGTGCACCCAGCCGCACACAAGACGCATTGTTGACAGCCAGTCTTGTGTGTGGCTAGCCACACCGCCTGACCACTTATAAAAAAACAAAGTAACCCCTATAATATTGATTGAGTAACCCCTAAAACACTGAACGAGTAACTCTATAACATTAGATAAAGTAACCCTTTTAACACTGACCAAGTAACGAACTCATATATCACTAACGAAGTAACCTCTATATTAGTTTGTCAAACCGTGTGGCCAGTCACATATAAGAATTTGTGATTGATATTTGAAATGATTACTTATATAACCTTCGATCTATGGCTAGTGTCATTATCGTGTTTATAAGTTTATCTTGTTTTGACGATGAGTCAATGATTGTTATGAAAAAAATCAAAATAAGACTAGGTTTTAAAGACGAAAGTAATACTCGTGTGTATATATATATATATATATATATATATATATATATATATATATATATATATTTTTTTTTTTTTTTTTTTTTTTGAGGAACATTTTGAGGAAATTGTTTTTTAAATAAATACAATATTTGACTTTTGTGGTTAAAGTATTTTATTAATTTTAAACATTTTTTTTTTTCTGATTATACGACATTATAATTAAGATATTATAATATCGACAATATCAATGCATTTAGGTCCCATTTACTTCACCATATTTTTGCTAAACTGAAATTATTTTTACTGAAACAAAATTATATTAGCTGAACTTAAATTATTTTAATTGAATAATTTTATTGAACTGAAATTATTTTTGCTGAATTGAAATTATTTTTACTGATTTTCTATTATAATTCTTCTTTAAAATAACTAAATTTTACTGATTGAACTTATTTCTACTGAACCGAAATTGTTTTTACTGAATTGAAATTAATTTTACTGAACTAAACTTATTTTTACTGAACTGAAATTATTTTTACTTAATATTATTTTTTTAAGGTGAAGTGAACAAGGCCTTATAGTTAGAAAGTTTCAGATTTCAGAACATCCGTACAAGTTATAATTGATCTTTTGGAAGATATTAACTACTCTTAATGAAGATACACGAAATCAAAAAATCAGTTTAGTTATGATTAGATTAGTTAGTGAACCTTTTACAGGAATCTTGTGGAGTGGATTAGTAGGGATATATTCCTTTCTTTAATGGATTAGTCTTTTCAAAGTGATTAGATATGAAATCTGTATTGATTACTATAAAATTAGTTAATAAGGATCTTCTTAATGCAACATTATCTTGCTAAATGACCGAATATTACCAATAAACTATATGTAAAGCAAAAATATCATGCTTAAAGGTTTGCTAATTTAGCATGATATTGTTCTGCAACATGTAAGGTGCATAAAATTCTTGGGAAAAGCTAAATAATTACCATATACATAATTGCAGTCTGGCTTATTGACCATTTATTATATTAATGTAGTGCTTAGGGTAAAAAATTATACACTAATCCTAATTTGCTTCTAACATACATGATACTTCTTTTAATATTTTAACGATTTCTTTTCAAAAAATATATTATATATATTTATTTACTTTTTTTTTTAAAGTAAGATACATTGAGGAGTTTAGACACGTCTTCTCGCAAGACCGTGACCTAAACTATCAAGGAGCAAAAAATACGAAAATTTACTATCTAAAAATGGATCTATATCTTGATGAGTCGGAGTAGAGTAGCCGAGAGAGGCAACATAGTCTGCTGCCCGATTGCCTTCTCGATAAATGTGTCTTTCCTGAAAACTCGTAAAAGAATCTAAAATAGCCTTGACATCCGCCATAAGAAGCTGAAGTTTCCATGGACAGCTGAAATGACCCTGCAAAATATTAATAATAGTAAGATTATCACCTTCAATAAAAATATTAGAAATATTGAATTCCCTAGCAAGAAGGAGGCCATTTCGAAGGGCAATAGCTTCAGCAAGAAAAGCCGGACAAGAACCTAAATTATAAGTTCGACTAGTAACATGATTCCCCAGGTGATCCCGAATGACCACACTTGCAGTAGCAGAATTCTGAGAGGAAGAACCATCAGATTTAAGTTTACAAAAGCCGAAAGGAGGTGGAGACCATGAGACAATAGGTGGAGGGGAAGGAGGAGGTGGCGGTGGAGGTGACACAGTGGGAAAGTGAATTGTGTCAAGAAGGGACCGAGATTCCCATTCCTTAAACATAGAAAAAGCTCGAATAAAAACACTATGAATAGTAGCAGAAGAGTTCTTAAACATAACTGCATTACGATGTTTCCAAATACTCCAAAATAAGATAGCTATGTTAGGAAGGAGATTAGGCAAAGTGGAATTAAGAGAGCGAAATAAATCATGGATCTGATTAATCTGAGGGATGCGCCCAAGCCATTGAAGAATAGAAGAAGAAGACCAAAGATCCATAGAAAATGGACAAGAGAGGAAAAGATGATCTTGAGATTCAGAATGATTAGAACATAGAGCACAATAAGTGGGGACATTAATATTACGTGAAGATAAAGTATGACGAGTAGGAAGGCTGTTATGAAGGATTTGCCAAAGGAAAATCTGGATTTTAGGTGGAATATCCAATTTTCAAATCCAACGAAATTCCCATTTAGAGGTAGGATGGACATGAGAATGGGCAAGCCAAGTAGCAGATTTGACAGTGATCTGACCATCTTTAGAGAGACCCCAACAAGGTTCATCTGGAATAGGGGAGGAGGGAAGGGGAATTCCTCTAATAGTTTGAACTATATTATTGGGAAGAACAGTAAGCAGAAGAGGGACGTCCCAAGAATTTATCATCAGTGATGAACATATCAACTGTCATATCAATATTCGCAATTTGATCAGGGTCCAAACCGAGAAGGGCAATAACATTGGTGTGAGCACACCAAATATCAACCCAAAAAAGGATAGAAGAACCATTTCCCACCTTCCACCGAAGTCCTCTAATTAAGAGAGGGCGAATTTGGAGAATCTTTCTCCAAATCCAAGAGTCTCTAGGTTGAGTACGACATGTAAGGAATTGAGCTTTACGTAAATATTTAGCAGTGATAGACTGAACCCATAAGTTAGTTGGGTCAGACATAATCTTCCAACTAAGTTTAGCCAAGAAAAGCAGAGTTAATAGCATCTGATTTACGAAGACCAAGACCCCCTTGTGATTTAGGTTGACAAATTGTATCCCAAGCAACCATAGGTAATCCTGCTTTTGCTGGGGACTGTTTCCAAAAGAAGTTTCTACTTAATCTATCAAGAGAAGAAGTAACTGAATTAGGTAAACGAGCAGTGGTCATAGCATACGAAGGTATAGCCTCAAGGTGGCTTTATTTACTAGAACGTTTATTTCTTTTTGTGCATTTTCCTTTCATTATCTCTGTCTGTCTAGATTTCTAGTTTATCATACATGTGTCTCTCTTTATTTCTCTTTGTCCCTCTTCGTCCTCATCACATATATTAAGTGCTAATGTGCGTATAAAATATCATGTATCTTTTGCATGTAACAATTAGTTTTAAGAAAATGAAAGTATGTATTCATATATACTTCGGGCTAGAGAATCTAATCTTTACCATTCGAGAGTAGGATCGATTGACGTGTAGTTGTAATTTCTCACACAAGCATGTTTGTCAAAACGGGGGATAAGGTACAACCTTTAAAATCAACCAAAAACATGGGTACACACGTTAAGAGATTCGATCTTGTCCAAATTTCAACCATGTATATTCTCTAAATTTCCCTATTTTTTTCTTGCCAAATGTTGTAAAAAGATTGAGGAGGTTTTAAGTTCCAAAAGGAGCTTATATAAGCATGGAAGAATTTGTGATAATGTTAGCATATAGATGGATTTGTGGTGGGGGGTAAAAGCAAGCTTATTGGAGTATAATTGTATAAAGGAAAGGAATGTCAACCCATTCTAAGGTAGGGGATTGTGACTATCCAAATTGCAATCCAGAAGCTACATTAACCTCTTTTATTTAATGGTACCATACCTAGGGGTGTAAACTAGCGGAGCTGACTTACAAAGTTTCTGAGAACGGGTGGGAATTGTAACACTACTAAGCTCGACTTGAAAAGCTCGTAAATAAACATGCTAAAATTTTATTTAGCTATTGGGTCATTAATTGATAATTATAATTAAAAACATACACTTCGTTTATTCTTAGTTTATTTAAGTGTTAGCAGAAAGAAGATAAAGCATAACATGGCCATGGATTATTAAACTTATTATTAAGAGAGAGTTTTGGATACGAGGGAGGTTCCAATTCTAAAGTCTAATTATACATCGATCATAATAGCTAGATATGATGGAGTTACTAGGCCATCTCCTCATAAATCTGATAATAGTCTTATTAGACCAGAGTCTCTCTAAGATTAGCCCGGCCGAGGTTACTTGGAAGAGGGATGAGGGGCAAAGGGAGGGGGGAGGGATGGCAAGGAAATGACCACTCCCAAGTCCCAAGTTGCTCTTATTGTTGTGGG